GTCTCCATCCCCATCGTTCTGCCCGGACACTGAGGTCCAGCGCCGAGAGCCTTCTGACGGTTCCCTCATTGCGAGAAGCAAAGCTACAGGGAACCAGCAGATGGCCTTCTCGGTAGTGGCGCCCGCCCTGTGGAACGCCCTCCCATCAGATGTCAAAGAGATAAACAACTACCTGACATTTAGAAGACATCTGAAGGCAGTTCAGGGAAGTTTTTAATGTGTATTTTTATGTATTTTTAATCTTGGTTGGAAGCCGCCCAGAGTGGCTGGAGAGACCCAGCCAGATGGGTGGGGTACAAATAAAAAATTATTATTATATTATTATTATTCTCTACATTGACTGGCAGGGAGTCTCTACCTGGAGATGCCCAGGGACCTTCTGCATGAGAGGAAAATGCTTTGCCACTCAGCTACCACCCATGGTCTTATTTCTTGAGATGTTCAGACTGCTTAGACTTTGCAACATGGCAGGCAACGTTAAACCACAGTGATCAACCAATGTCATAAAACAGAATGAATGAAAGAACTGAATGTATGGAAAAAGCTGGGGGCAGAAGTGAGGAGGGGGCTGTTCGGCTCTCATGCTTGTGGCATCTGGTCAGAATAGGATGCTGAGGGAGGTGCAAGAATGGGTGCAACTTTCCGTTTCCTCTCTCTCTCTCTCTCTCTCTCTCTCTCTCTCTCTCTCTCTCTCTTTTTCATTTTCCCAGCCTGAAGTTCAGTTCATCAAGTTTCTGCATTAGTTTGAGATTTTCTTTTGGTGTGTGTGTGTGTGTGTGTGCTCATCAGCATTTAAGCGTGCAACAGTGTGTTGTTGTTTAGTCGTTTAGTCGTGTCTGCCTCTTCGTGACCCCCTGGACCAGAGCACGCCAGGCACTCCTGTCCTCCACTGCCTCCCGCAGTTTGGTCAAACTCATGCTGGTAGCTTCGAGAACACTGTCCAACCATCTTGTCCTCTGTTGTCCCCTTCTCCTTGTGCCCTCCATCTTTCCCAACATCAGGGTCTTTTCCAGGGAGTCTTCTCTTCTCATGAGGTGGCCAAAGTACTGGAGTCTCAGCTTCAGGATCTGTCCTTCCAGTGAGCACTCAGGGCTGATTTCCTTCAGAATGGATAGGTTTGTTCTTCTTGCAGTCAATGGGACTAAGATCAGACCTATGCATTCTTAAGGAAATCCCCTTCATGGATCACTGCTTTGCTGTGGTGAAGGGTCTTGAATAACTCAGAGAAGCTATGAGCTATGCCGTGCAGGGACACCCAAGATGGACAGGTCATAGTGGAGAGTTTTGACCAAATGTGATCCACCTGGAGCAGGAACCGGCAAGCCACTCCAGTATCCCTGCCAAGAAAACTCCATGGACAAATCAACAGTGTGATGCAGCAGCAAAAAAAGCTAATGCAATTCTAGGCTGCGTCAACAGAAGTACAGTGTTTACATCAAGGGAAATCATGGTCCCATTCTATTCTGCCTTGGTCAGACCCCACCTGGAGTCCTGTGTCCAGTCCTATGCACTTCGGTTTAAGAAGGATGTTGACAAGGTGGAAGGTGTGCAGAGGAGGGCAACCAAGACAATCAAGGGCCTGGAAACCAAGACTAATGAGGAATGGTTGAAGGAGTTGGGTATGTTTAGCCTGGAGAAGAGGAGACTGAGAGGAGGTATGATAGCCAACTTCAAATATCTGAAGGGATGTCACATGGAAGAGGGAGCAAGCGTGTTTCCTGCTGCTCTGGAGCGTAGGACCTGAACCAATGGATTTAAATGACAAGAAAGGGCATTCCAATTAAACATTAGGAAGAACTTTTGTAGCTGGAGTCAGTCCAGGCCCTGCCCTCCCAGGCTGGGTGGGAAAAGGCCAGCAAGGCAGGGAGCAGGTCTTCCAGGACTTAAACCCAAGGATGCGTCCATGCCCTGGTTATTTTCCTGATGTGCTAGAGCCCATCGTGAGAATGTGAAGGGGGGGAGCCGCCCTCCTTCAAACCTAATGAGAGCATTCCCACAAATTGAAACCTTTCTAATTGCTCCACCGGTGGCACTGTGTAAGCAGCTTAGCTAACATCCCGGCTATTATATAGGACAACAATCACCGTTAAGAGTCTTTGCTTCCTACTGCTCTGCCCCACCTCTCAGCCTGTTCCAGACGGCCATCCCGGCTAGACCCAAAGCTCCTCACCACTAATCCCATCTTGCCCATCAGCTGAAAGTACACGGTACATGTTTGTGTTTACCCAGCCGCAAGATTTCACGACTCTCACTATTTAAGAACTTTCCCCTGTGGCTGCAACAACCTCTTTAAGTGATGTCGTAGTTCATTTGGACAGGGGTCAGCAGAATACATTACCTTCTCCAAACATGGGTGCTTTGCCTGCTGAGGGTTGCTCCACCTGACCCAAGTGTGTTCCTGGATGCGGTCCAAAGCCCTCTCTCAATTCCCTCAAGGTCACGGAAAGAAGGAAGGAAGGAGATGTTGCTTGGGAAGTGAAGCCAGCTGTCTCCACACCAGCCCTGAGCTTCTAGGAGATTTTCATCCAGAAGTGTGAATAGGTCACAGTCCCAACAGTCTCAGCCTCATACCCTCCACCACTTCTTCGATGAAAATAGGGACATCCTTTTCAACAACAACAATTTTATCATTTATACCCTGCCCATCTGACTGGGTTGCCCCAGCCACATTGGGCGGCTTCTGAAACATTGTTTAGTCGTTTAGTCGTGTCCGACTCTTCATGACCCCCTGGACCAGAGCACGCCAGGCACTCCTGTCTTCCACTGCCTCCCACAGTTTGGTCAAACTCATGTTTGTAGCTTCGAGAACACTGTCCCACCATCTCGTCCTCTGTCATCCCCTTCTCCTTGTGCCCTCCATCTTTCCCAACATCAGGGTCTTTTCCAGGGAGTCTTCTCTTCTCATGAGGTGGCCAAAGTATTGGAGCCTCAGCTTCAGGATCTGTCCTTCCAGTGAGCACTCAGGGCTGATTTCCTTCAGAATGGAGAGGTTTGATCTTCTTGCAGTCCATGGGATTCTCCAGAGCAGGGGTAGGCAACCTAAGGCCCAATCGCCTTCTCAATCTAGCCCATGGACGGTCCTGGAATCAGCATGTTTTTACATGAGTAGAGTGTGTCCTTTTATTTAAAATGCATCTCTGGGTTATTTGTGGGGCATAGGGATTCGTTCATCCCCTCCCAATATAGTCCAGCCCACCACATGGTCTGAGGGACGGTGGACCGGCCCACGGCTGAAAAAGGTTGCTGACCCCTGCTCGAGAGTCTCCTCCAGCACCAGAATTCAAAAGCATCCATTCTTCGGCGATCAGCCTTCTTTATGGTCCAGCTCTCACTTCCATACATCACTACTGGGAAAACCATAGCTTTAACTATACGGACCTTAGTAGGCAAGGTGATGTCTCTGGTTTTTAAGATGCTGTCTAGGTTTGTCATTGCTTTTCTCCCAAGAAACAGGCGTCTTTTAATTTCGTGACTGCTGTCCGTGACTTTATATGTCCGAAACATATAAATGCATAATAAACATTTAAAAACTTCTTCTAAAGGTTGTCATCTCCTTGACATGGTGTCAAGTATGGGAGTTTCCCCCTCCCTTCTCGTGGCTCACCGATAAGAATTAACGAGCGTTTCGTAGATTTATAGTCCTTTTATTTCAGCATTGTGTTACAAGCACAAACAGGCAACCCTCCGCGAGGATATCAGTTGCCTACTATGACTCCTCCCCACTTCCGCAGCAAGAAGCGCGCCAATGGCAAGTCCATCCCCCCTTCCGTCTCCTTTGTTCTCTGACATGCTCAGACCTCCGAGTTCGTGGGGAGGGAGGAGGTTTCCCCCACTCTCGATTGATGTATCGCCCAGCTGCTCCCTCCCTTCTGGTTGCTTAGCTACTATCACATAGCTGGGTAGCTCCTCTCTTAGCTGTGCAGCTTCTGTGTCTGCCTGTTTCTCTGCTTTTGGAAATGCTGGATTTGGGGGGGGGGGGAGAGAATATTCCATCTCCTCTTCTTTTAGGAGCTGATCTCCCTGCAATTGCATCCCCCAATCGTCCAGCCCTGACCAACCCCTGACACATGGGAGTTGCATGACGCCATATGGAGGTCCTCCATTCTGAGGACCTCCATACACTGTGCCCAAGCTTTCACCCTGGGGAGGTCACTTGGCTGCTGCTAACACAGTGGTTTGACTTCACCCCCAGAGGCGCACTCCATTGTCTCTTGAGACAGATGGATGCAACGACAATATTGCAGTAAAATGATGTTTTTTGGGTGTGTGTGTGCTGATACAGCTCCTCACAAAGGGTGCAAGGGACATTAGGTGATCCTCTGGCCATGTGCAAAGTGAGAACGGTGTTGGGGGTCCTATTCATGTCGTGGGCGGTCTTGAGGTCCCGGCAAACACCTGGCTTCACCAACTCCTGGAGCTTTCACTCATCGGATCACAGGAAAATGCTGGCTTCCCAGCCAGAAATCTTTACGTGCACCCTTTCAAGGTACCAGGGAGATGCCTGCAAGGATTTGGAAAAGGTGTGGGTGGGAGAAAGACTGCATATTAAAACCACAGCTCGTTTGATGGATAGCCTGTGCTCTGCCCCTGCTGCCCCAGCCAGCCTTCCAAGGGTGAATGCCCTCCCCCTCCCCCACAACTTGTCCTCCTGTGGTCACCTGTCAGGCTGCTGGGCTGCAGCTTGGCAAGTCGTTTCCCCGAGATTCGATTGTGGAGCCATTGCTCCTGGCTCCCATCTGTGACTCCTGGAAGGTGCCAGCAAGCACCAGCAGCCTGGGAAAGGCTTCGACTGGCCAGCTAAACCAGGGGAGGGTAGCCGATGGGTCTCAAACCCTCGGTGTGTTAGGAACGTCCCCTGGACACAAAAACAGGCTCTTGCTGTCAGAAACTTCTTCCTGTTGTTTAGTTGGAATTGCCTTCCTTATAACTTGAATCCCTCAGTTTGGGTCCTCCCCTCTGGAGCATCAGAAAACAAACTTGTCACACCTTCCATGACTGATGGGATAGCTCAGCTGGTAGAGCCGGAGACTCTTAATCTCAGGGTTGTGGGTTCGAGCCCCACGTTGGGCCAAAGATTCCTGCATTTCAGAGGGTTGGGCTCTCAGCTCTACAATTCCATGATTCTATGTGACAGCCCTTCAGATATTTGAAGATGACTACCATATATGTCCTGGACACGGGTGGCGCTGTGGTGTAAACCACTGAGCCTCTGGGCTTGGTGATCGGAAGGTCAGCGGTTCGAATCCCCGCAACGGGGTGAGCTCCCGTTGTTCGGTCCCAGCTCCTGCCAACCTAGTAGTTCGAAAGCACACCAGTGCAAGCAGATAAATAGGTACCACTCCGGTGGGAAGGTAAACGGCATTTCCTTTACCTTTTACCACATATGTGCAGCACTGCTAAATCAAACCTAGGCTTCTGGGTTCACCCAGATCCAGTCCGGGAAACTGTGGATCTTCAAGATGTTACTGGACCACACCTATTGCCAGCCCTGAGTGTTGGCTGTATTCGCTGGGGCTGCTGGGAGCTGGATCAGATGAACTTCTGGAGGGAACCAGGTCCTCTTGACTCTGATGCACACAGAGGCCCCTTAGAAAGGCAGGGCAGAAAAAGCTGCAAGCTGCTTGTAATAGGATCTCATTGTACCTTTTGCCCCATACTTTCTAGGCACAGGGCTGCACTTTCCTGGTCTGTGTCCATCTCCTTCTCCCCGCAGCTGAGTTCCCCAGGAAAGCCCACTCTTTAACACCCCGCTCTTTAACACTTGGGAATTGTCTACACTTCCGCTTATCCCTAGAAAGCAAGTGTCCAAGTTGTTCCCTGCTTAATCCGCACTTTCTAGGCTCAGGTCGGAGTGGGTTTTCCCCTTTGCCTCACTTCTTTCCCAGGGAAAACCTGCTCCTTAGCTCTAAATGGTAGCAATCCAAAGGAAACCCGAATGGCTATTTGCTCCGATTGAGCGCTAAAGAGCAGTTTCCCCCAAGAGGAGAGGGTGGAGCAGCCCTGAGTCAGAACAAATGGCATTTTGGGTTTACCACAGATAGCCTTTGCTCCGATTCAGCGGCAAATAACTCTTTTTGTGCAGGGAAAGCACTGAGGCAGAGAGAGAGAGAGAGAGAGAGAGAGAGAGAGAGAGAATGCCCGGACCTCTGACGAGAAATGCAGAGCAAAGGTACACGTGGACAAGTCCTTATTGCATTTTAAAAAAAGAAAGAAGCCCAGCAGCTGGAAAGTCCTGCAGCCAACGAAGCTGGAGGAAGATGTAATTCTCCCAGGCAGGGCTTATTTCAATGATGCTGGCAGAGCAGCTGAGTCAAGGAAAAACCCTCTCTGGGGTCTGGAGGCCAGGAACGGAAAGAGCCCACGGTGCCGTGTGAAGAGAATATCAAAGACTGCGGCGGAGGCTTGCCAGGAATACAGGAACGGCTTTTGTGGAGCCCAGGAGCCTGACAAGAGGCTGGCGGGGGGGGGCGGGGAGTGATAGTGGAAGTGTGTTTATGTGTGTGGCAAGCAGAGACTGCACAGAGAGGAAGAGACCTCAGAGTCTCTGTGCGGCTGCTCCTTGCATCTAGGGTTCCCATCTCTCCCCCCTGCCGCCCGTCATGCTGTTCCTGTGTCTTTTTCAGCAGCCTAGCATGCTGAAGACCAAGCAGTTGAAGATTAAGAACACAATAAGAGCCTCTGTTGGATCACCCCACCTAGTCCAGCATCCCCTTTGCATACCTTCCAAAACACTTCCCTATACAGGGCTGCCTTCAAAGGTCTTCTAGCAGATGGCACAACCTTCATGGCAGAAAGTGCCTTTTAATGAGGGTGAAAGAGGAGAGCGCAAAATATGGTCTGAAGCTCAACATCAAAAAGACTAAGATCATGGCCACTGGGCCCATCGCCTCCTGGCAAATAGAAGGGGAAGAAATGGAGGCAGTGAGAGATTTTACTTTCTTGGGCTCCATGATCATTGCAGATGGTGACAGCAGCCACAAAATTAAAAGGCGCCTGCTTCTTGGGAGAAAAGCAATGACAAACCAAGACAGCATCTTAAAAAGCAAAGACATCAACTTGCCTACAAAGGTCCGTATAGTTAAAGCTTTGGTTTTCCCAGTAGTGATGTATGGAAGTGAGAGCTGGACCATAAAGAAGGCTGATCGCTGAAGAATGGATGCTTTTGAATTCTGGTGCTGGAGGAGACTCTTGAGAGTCCCATGGACTGCAAGAAGATCAAACCTATCCATTGTGAAGGAAATCAGCCACTGGAAGGACACATCCTGAAGCTGAGGCTCCAATACTTTGGTCACCTCATGAGAAGAGAAGACTCCCTGGAAAAGACCCTGATGCTGGGAAAGATGGAGGGCAGAAGGAGAAGGGGACAGCAGAGGATGAGATGGTTGGACAGTGCTCTCAAAGCCACAATCATGAGTTTGACCAAACTGCGGGAGGCAGTGGAAGACAGGAGTGCCTGGCGTGCTCTGGTCCAGGGGGTCAAGAAGAGTCGGACATGACTAAACGACTAAACAGCAACAAAGGAGTTGCATATGCACAGGAGCTTGTTACAGCAATGGAGATAATCACGAATGCTTGCTAACACTTCAAGCTGCCACGAAGGGCACAAGCGCAGAGGCGGATTGAAACGTTGGCAATTGAGAGTTGTGCAATTGACGCCGGCCTGTCCATGCAGTGGGATTTTCTGCGGTTTTCTCTGGGAGGAAAAGGCACCTAGGTTTTTCTCCATTTTCTGCACTTCCAACCCACTCCCTCCCCGAGAAAGGCTGGAGCTGTGAGAATTATGCAAAAGCTACTGCTACATCCAGCAAGCTTCTCTCCTCCCTCGCTCAACTAGAGATAATTGAATCAGCCACCTGCCCTCTGTTTCGGCATCTAAAGAGACTTGACCCCGGCGGGTTAGCTGGAGAATCTCTGTTGGAAGTCCTCATTCATTCCCACTCTGGCGGAATATAGGGAGTAAATTAGAGGGAGCTGCACAGGGGGCAGAGATGAGAGAGAGACAGACAGAAAGAGAGAGTTAATCCAGCTAGTCTGTGAAGGCACTAAGGTTTTCAGGGGGCACTTCTGTGTGCCAGATTATAATTTCAACTGTGCATTTTATAGCTAGAAGAATAAAATCCGGTGGCGCTCACTATGGCTCCGGTTTGTGAGAGAGATGTTCAGCAGGGACCCACCTTAAAGGTGAAGGTAAAGGGACCCCTGACCATTAGGTCCAGTCGTGACCGACTCTGGGGTTGCGGCGCTCATCTCGCTTTATTGGCCGAGGGAACCGGCGTACAGCTTCCGGGTCATGTGGCCAGCAGGACTAAGCCTCTTCTGGCGAACCAGAGCAGCGCACGGAAACGCTGTTTACCTTCCCGCCAGAGTGGTACCTATTTATCTACTTGCACTTTGACGTGCTTTCGAACTGCTAGGTTGGCAGGAGCAGGGACCGAGCAACGGAAGCTCACCCCGTTACGGGGATTCGAACTGCCGACCTTCTGATCGGCAAGCCCTAGGCTCTGTGGTTTACCCCACAGCACCACCTGCGTCCACCTTGCTTGGTCACAAATACACCATAAATTTAATGCACATGACTCCTCCCGTTTAAGAATCCTGGGAACTCTAGATTGCTAAGGGTGATTGGGACCGTGGCTCTCCAAGTGGGTAAACTACAGTTTCCAAGGTCTAGGTTGTTGTTTTTGTGGGAAGCCATGTTCTTTTAATGTATAATGTAGCTGTGGTCTTTGCTTCCAGGGTTGCCAGCTGACCCCATTGGCCTGCCCTGTTGCCTTACATGATGAGCAGTGATCAGTGCCTCAAGCTTTTCGTAGCACGGGTGACGATCGCTCGCTAGTGTTGCCACATCAAGGTTTGAAGGCGTGGCATCGGTGGTGTGTTGAAAAGCTCATGGTCCTCGTTCCATCTGCTCAGCAAGCATCCTGTTCCTCGTCAAATCCTGGGCTCTGAGACGGCCTGATGGAAATACCCTCTGTTGGAGGGCAGGGGAGGTACACTGAATAATAATAATAAAAAACCTTTGGTCCTCTGCATTTTGCTGAACTACAAAACCTACCATCCCTGGCCATTGGCTGTGCTTCCAGGGGTTGATGGGAGTTGTTGCCATCTGTCTGTCTTGGGAGATAATGGAGGGGTACGCCTTTGGGGGTGAAGTTGCAGCTCCTGCTGTGGCTGTAGAGACCGATACAGGAGAGACATGTTTTGTTGCATCTGGAGCAGAGGAAGGTGTCCGGTTGTGCTGCTGCAAATGGGAGTTGCAGTTCAGCATAATCGGGGGGTGTGTGTGTGTGTGTGGAATGAGTGCAGTTGGGGGACTGATTTACACCAGGACCCTCCCCATTGTGTAGCTAACTGCACAATGTGTGTTTGTGTGATGCTTTCATGGGAATTGTGCTGCACTTTTGAGGAAAACTACTGGGTGGCGCTGTGGGTTAAACCACGGAGCCTAGGACTTGCCGATCAGAAGGTTGGCGGTTCAAATCCCCGCGACAGGGTGAGCTCCCGTTGCTTGTTCCCTGCTCCTGCCAACCTAGCAGTTCGAAAGCACGTCAAAGTGCAAGTAGATAAATAGGTACCACTCCAGCGGGAAGGTAAACGGCGTTTCTGTGCACTGCTCTGGTTCGCCAGAAGCGGCTCAGTCATGCTGGCCACATGACCCGGAAGCTGTATGCCGGCTCCCTTGGCCAATAAAGCGAGATTAGCGCCGCAACCCCAGAGTCGGCCACAACTGGACCTAATGGTCAGGGGTCCCTTTACCTTTACTGCGCCTGGGCTCAGTATTAACGTGTGTGCGCACACATGTAAAATACTGAGGACACCTGCAAACCACACATTTTAATGTGATGTGCCATTAAGTCCCACATGTTGCAACTTACATTAGGTGGCAGGTGACTCATCATTTTACACAGGTGCCAAGAGGGCGTGAGCTTTGTCTAGGCCACGCTATGACTTCATGTCTAGGGCGGAATTTGAACTCAGATCTCCCCGCCCTCTGTGGCTGAAGAAGCAAGCCTTTGCTGTATGGGGCCTCCCTCCCCCCCCCTCCTGCTTTTCTGCAATCCATGCCTGGTGTTTTTCAGCCTTCGTTCTGTTTGGGAATTAAAAATAGAAATAGATTTTCTTCTCGCCCAGGAGGTTGGTGAATGGAACTAGGCTTGTATGTGGGCTGTCGTTGGTAGGATCCGTCTGTTCTGCTGAAGGGTCCAACGCAGGAGGAGAGGCAGTCGGGGGGGGGAGGGGGCAGGGAAGCAATGTTCTCCAAGCTGCCGTGGGGAGAGGGGTTTGACTGAAACAAAAGCCTGCAGTGGTCTCAGAGCAAAACAGTCTCTTCCCAGAGTTTCCCTTGGAAGTGTGCTTGCCAACCTGCCCAGGAGAGATAAAAAGGTCCAGGTCTGATCCTGGACCTTTCTAACCCCTTCCGCAAGTACTCAGCTGGTTAGAGTGTGGTTCCAGTAACGCCAAAGTTGCAGGTACAATCCCCGTTTGGGACAGCTGCATATTGCTGCATTGCAAGGGGTTGGACGCGGGTGGCGCTGTGGTCTAAACCACTGACCCTCTTGGACTTGCCGATCAGAAGGTCGGCGGTTCGAATCCACGCGACGGAATGAGCTCTCGTTGCTCTGTCCCAGCTCCTGCCAACCTAGCAGTTCGAAAGCACACCAGTGCAAGTAGATAAATAGGTACCGCTCCAGCAGGAAGGTAAATGGCTTTTCCGTATGCTGCTCTGGTCCCAGGAGAACTGTACAGTCAAATGCAATAAACAAGCAGAGGGATACTTTCAGTGAATTATTATTATTATTATTATTATTATTATTACTATTATTATTATTATTGTTTTATTAACTGATAACAGTAACTGATGCAGGCAGGAATGGGAGCAAAGTTTCCCGCTGCCTTCCCTTTAGGGTTGTGTTTTTGTGTGTGAATTCAATTCAGCTTGAGAACACACCTAATTTGCACTTTCTGAAGCAATCTGCAAACTGAAAGAGCGCCGTTCTTCAAAATGTGTGCTTCTGCAAATTTTGCAAGGCAGTTCTGCTGCCAAGCAAGGCGCACAACAATGCATATGCTAGATGGAGCGGTGCATAAAGATGCATATATCATGGTTTTGGGTAAAGAATGTTTATTTCGCTTTATCATGTATGTAAAACAGAGATAACAGAGCAAAGCAGATAGCTCAGTTGGTAGAGCATGAGACTCCTAATCTCAGGGTTGTGGGTTCGAACCCCACGCTGGGCAAAATGATTTGTGCATTGCAGGGGGTTGGACTAGATGACCCTTGTGGTCCCTTCCAACTCTAAATTTCTATGATTCTATGAAACAACAGATGAAAATCAAAGCTATAAAATAGGCGTGTAGAATGAGTCCAATTGCACATGGGTTAAAATAGCAAAGTCTGAGGAAAGCATATTAGCACTATCTGATTATCAAGTACCAGATTTGCCAGCCTTGTGATGATGGTTGTCTGGGAAATGATGGTTTTATTATGATTTGTAATAAAGGAATGCCAAATCATATAAAAAGTGCCAGGAGGTTCTAGTCCCTGTTGAAATATCAAATTGAAAATGCATATACCATACCCTCCAGTATTTCTCTGATGAAAATAGGGACACCCTATTCCATAATAATAAGAATTTTATTTTTGTACTCTGCCCGCCTGACTGTTGCCCCAGCCACGCTAGGCAACTTTCAACATATAAAAAAACATGATAAAACTATACAGGGCTGCCTGCTAAAGGTTGTATCAGAACTTATCTCCTTGACGCAGAGGTCACATAACTCTATATCCTCCAACATTTCTCCGATGAAAACAGGAATGTCCTAAGGAAAAACAGGACATCCTGGGATGGATGCGTCACATGGATATTTTGCTTGCATATTTCACCTCTTCCTTATTATTGTTTCAGGGTTTGCTTGTTTTTTATAAAAACAACAACAAATGGGGAGTGAAACATTACATTTAAAGCTGCCAGTCAATGTAGACCATAATAATCCAGGTGAACCAATGATTCTGAATTGGTACAAGGCAGCTTCTTCTGCCCTTTCTTGAATTTCTTTCCTTTTTAAAATATATTTTTTATTAAGTATTACATAACAAATTAAAATTTGAACATTAAACACCCACATCGTCATTTAGGATTCTATGAATCCTTCGACTCCCCTCCACCCTTCCATAGTTACCATTATCCATCTTTTTTTCCAACTGCCTCCCTTATTTTCTCTATTTTTTAAACAAGTAATCAATTTTTACCATAGTTCTTCGTATATTACAAGCATTACTCAAATCCCGCCAAAGTTTTTAGTTGTTTACAGTGTTCTCTTAAATACATTGTAAATTTTCCATATTCCTTCTTAAAGTTTTTCTCTTCCCGGTTTCTCATTTTCCCGGTCAATTTCGCCATTTTGACATTGTCCATCATTTTCATCAGCCGTTCTTCTCTGATCAGGACTTTATCTTCTTTCCATCTCTGGGCCAGTAATATCCGTGCTGCTGTCGTCGCGTTACATGAATAGTCGTTTCTGCTCCTTCGGAATTTCTGCACCTAAAATGTCTAATGAAAAAGCCTCTGGTTTTTTCACAAACGTTATTTTGAACATTTTTTTCAACTCGTTAGAAATCATTTCCCAGAATGCCTTTGCTATCTTGCATGTCCACCACATGTGGTAGTATGTTGGGCCTGGGGGTTAACCCGAGCAACGCGGTCCAGGTCCGATCCCGAATCCAAGGATTCCGTGAGGAGTCAGTCCAACAGGGCCAAGGCAGGACATGAGGCAGGAAACCAGGCTAGGTCAGGCACAGGGTCTCAGGCAGGTTCTAGCAAACAGCAATGTTGCTCCTACAACCAGGGGCAGGGCCCGATAGCCTTTTATCTTTGTCGGGATGACGGCCGGTCCTGATCCCCCGGCGACTCACCTCCCTGTCTCGCCCGAAGGCGAGCACTCCTCCTGCGAGTACTCAGGTCTCTCCTTCTCTCAGACCTCAGTCTCTGCAGCTCGGGAGATGTTGGTGGGGTACTAGACCCAGAGGCCACCTCAGCCTCTCCTGACCCAAGTGGTAGAGGAGCAGCTATAAGTGATTGCCCAGCTGAAGGCAATGAGGGAACCCCCACATCTGGAGCCAGGGCAGGCTCAGGCCCCTGACTCGGCCCAGCTGATGCTTGTTGCAGGGGAACCTGTGCAGACTGGGGCTCTTCAGAATCAGGCCCCAGACTCAGTTCAGATGCCGCCTGAGGCAAAGGATCCGGTGCGGACTGAGACTCCTCTGGTTCCGAGTCCGAGCCCGAGTCCCAGGCCACCATAGGTAGAATGTGCCTTCCTTCTCCTTACATTTCCAACATACGCTTGACGCGGTTCTATACATCTTTGCTAATTTTACTGGTGTTAAGTACCACCGATACATCGTCTTCGTATAAGTCTCCTTCAACGCACAGTACTCTGTAAATTTTAAACCCTCCCTCCATAGCTTTTCCCAATATGAAAATTCTGTGTTCTTGAATTTCATTCTATCATGGGGCGTATATAACAACAACAACAACAACAACAACAGCAATTTATTATTTATACCCCGCCCATCTGGCTGAGTTTCCCCAGCCACTCTGGGCGGCTTCCAATCAAGTGTTAAAAACAGTACAGTGTTAAATATTAAAAACTTCCCTGAACAGGGTTGCCTTCAGATGTCTTTTAAAGATAGGATAGCTGCTTATTTCCTTCATATCTGAAGGGAGGGTGTTCCACAGGGTGGGCGCCACTACCGAGAAGGCCCTCTGTCTGGTTCCCTCTAACCTCACTTCTCGCAATGATGGAACCGCCAGAAGGCCCTCGGCGCTGGATCTCAGTGTCCGGGCAGAACAATGGGGGTGGAGATGCTCCTTCAGGTATACAGGACCGAGGCCGTTTAGGGCTTTAAAGGTCAGCACCAACACTTTCAATTGTGCTCGGAAACGTACTGGGAGCCAATGCAGATCTCTCAGAACTGGTGTTATGTGGTCCCGGTGGCCACTCCCAGTCACCAGTCTAGCTGCCGCATTCTGGATTCATTCATCAGTCTAGCTGCTGCATTCTAAAAGTGACTATCACTTGCTGTCTTTCAGATCCTGTTGGCCTGAACTGCCTGAGGAGGATGTTGCCATCGCATTGGGGGTGGTGGCTGACCTCTTGCACTTTTGCCAAAGTCTTGGTGGCCTCGGCCGTCTTCGCCGAGAACACCTCCTGGGCCGGAGCCTACGATGCCGAGACAAAGGTCAATGGCAGCTGCGAAGGGTCCAACAAATGTCAACCAGGAGTGTTGCTCCCCGTCTGGCAGCCGGACAACCCATCCTTCGGCGACAAGGCTGCCAGGGCCATTGTCTACTTTGTTGCCATGATGTACATGTTCCTGGGAGTCTCCATCATCGCCGACCGCTTCATGGCATCCATTGAGGTCATCACCTCCAAGGAGAAGGAGATAACCATCACCAAGTCCAATGGCGAGACCAGCATTGGAACTGTGAGGATCTGGAACGAGACGGTCTCCAACCTCACCCTCATGGCTTTGGGTTCGTCGGCGCCAGAGATCCTCCTCTCGGTGATTGAGGTCTGCGGCCACAACTTCCAAGCCGGCGAGTTGGGTCCTGGCACCATCGTGGGCAGCGCGGCCTTCAACATGTTTGTGGTCATTGCTGTGTGCGTCTACGTTATCCCCAACGGTGAGAGCCGCAAGATCAAGCACCTGAGGGTGTTCTTCGTCACAGCTTCCTGGAGCATCTTCGCCTACATCTGGTTGTACCTGATCTTGGCGGTCTTCTCGCCAGGGATCGTGCAAGTGTGGGAGGCCTTGCTGACCCTCGTCTTCTTCCCGGTCTGCGTGGTCTTTGCCTGGATGGCGGACAAGCGCCTGCTCTTCTACAAGTACGTCTACAAGAGGTATCGGGCAGATCCTCGCAGCGGCATCATCATCGGCACCGAGGGTGAGTTCCCCAAGGGGATAGAGATGGACGGCAGCTTTGTAGGCAATGACCACCGGGAGAGCGTCTTCGTGGATGGGAGCGTGGCCTCCGTGGCCCCGCTCCCCATCACCACCCAGGAGGAGAAGGAGCTGGATGAGAGCCGCAAGGAGGTCATCCAGATCCTCAAAGACCTTAAGCAGAAGCACCCGGACAAGGAGTTGGACCAGTTGGTTGAGATGGCCAACTATTACGCCCTGTTGCACCAGCAGAAAAGCCGGGCTTTCTATCGCATCCAGGCCACGCGGATGATGACAGGGGCGGGGAACATCCTCAAGAAGCACGTCTCCGAGTTCTCCAAGAAGTCCGTGAACCTGCTGGAGGTGCCTTCAGAAGCAGAGGCAGAAGAGAACTACAGTAAGATCTTCTTTGAGCCGTGCATGTACCACTGCCTGGAGAACTGCGGCTCGGTCACGTTGACTGTGGCTTGCCAGCAGGGCGGCGACACCTACAACACCTTCTACGTGGACTACAAGACGGAGGACGGCTCGGCCAAGGCGGGCTCCGACTACGAGTTCAGCGAGGGGACGCTGATCTTCAAGCCCGGCGAGACGCAGAAGGAGCTGAAGATTGGCATCATCGATGATGACATCTTTGAGGAAGATGAGCACTTCTTCGTCCGGCTGCTCAACCTGCGGGTGGGGGACGCAGAGGGCATGTTTGAGTCCGATTCGGCTGACCACCCCAAGGGCAGGCTCGTGGCGCCGCTGGTGGCCACCGTGACCATTTTGGACGACGACCACGCCGGCATCTTCACCTTCCAGGATAAACTATTGAGGGTCAGCGAGTGCCAAGGGACCCTGGAGGTCAAGGTCATCCGCAGTTCAGGGGCCCGTGGGACGGTCATGGTCCCCTACCAGACGGTGGAAGGGACGGCGCGAGGAGGGGGAGTGGACTATGAAGACTCCTGCGGGGAGCTGGAGTTCAACGACGACGAAACAGTGTAAGTAAACAGTGCTGATTCTTTCCTTGCTTGTTCAATGTATTTTTAAAATTTGGTTTTACATATTTAAATTTATAATCATATCGCAACACATCCAAAGTTACAAGATCCCTCCAAATCTCTGTACTTTCCCCCTTCCCCTCTGTGGGTTCTGTTGTTAAACCTTTTCTACTGCATCTCTCTCTTTTTTTAATAATCCAAATTTTTATAACTCCATTGTGACCATAGTTCTTGTTATACCATGAGTGTTATTGCAGACGTGCTAAGACTTTCAACTGCTTACAGTGGTCTTCAAGATAAGTTATAATTTTCCCCCATTCCTTTTTTAAATTTTGGTCTTCCTGGTTCCTAAGCTTTCCGGTCATTTTTGCCATTTTGGCATAGTCCATCGACTTAGTTTGCCATTCTTCTCTGGTAGGGACTTTATCTCCTTCCCATCTCTGGGACAATAACATCCGCACAGCTGTCGTCACATACTTGAAAAGTCTTTTCTGCTCCCTTAGAATTTCAGCACCTACAATTCCTAATAGAAAAGCCTCCGACTTTTTGTTTTTTTAAAAATAAAAGTTATTTTAAACATTTATCCCCCTTGATTCATTATATATCATTTCCCAGAATGCTTTTATTTATTTATTTTTCCCTCTTGGGTGAGCAAAAGCGAGGCAGACAGGTTGGAATTGAATTATTTACCGTATTTTTCGCTCTATAAGACGCACCAGACCACAAGACGCACCTCGTTTTTGGAGGAGGAAAACAAGAAAAAAAATATTCTGAATCTCAGAAGCCAGAACAGCAAGAGGGATCGCTGTGCAGTGAAAGCAGCAATCCCTCTTGCTGTTCTGGCTTCTGGGATAGCTGCGCAGCCTGCATTCGCTCCATAAGACGCACACACATTTCCCCTTACTTTTTAGGAGGGAAAAAGTGAGTCTTATAGAGCAAAAAATACGGTAACTGTTTCCCAGCACACCAGGGGCCTTCCAGGGGCCCAAAGGCCTTCACCTAATGTTCTCTGTTCTCTGAAGCCAACCCAGGATATAGGGTCCGGATCCCCACGAAACTTTGCCTCCCTATAGTCACCCCACTCAGTCGGCTCAAATGGGTATTGAAAGGTGCTGAGTGGTCAAGTGGGGGGCCGGACTATATTTTGGGGAAAAAATGAACGAATTCCTGTGCCCCACAAATAACCAAGAGATGCATTTTAAATAAAAGCACACATTCTACTCATGGAAAAACATGCTGATTCTCGGACCGTCCATGGCGATTGGGCTGGATCCGGCCCCCGGGCCTTAGTTTGCCTACTCATGCATTAACCACGCACAGAATCCCTTCAGTCACATGTCTCACAACGTCTTTCTCCTGAGTTTCCAATTCCTTCGCCCCCCCCCCAATGCTTATCAAAGCGATCAAGAGCTCTGGTTTCTTTTACTTTTTCATTTAAAATGATCCCTTCTCCGGGCTGGCCAAGACTCGCCCCCCACCCCCCAGTCGCCACATAATTGAAAATATAGACATTTTATTAGATCAAGTGTGAGAGAGGAGGGCTGCAATTTTATGCATTACACCTTTAAAGAGAAATTTTGTCTGAAAAGCTTTCCTCCGAACTGGCACTCCATAAATTAAAGCAATAATTTTAAACTGCCTTTTCCTAGGCATCTATCCAAACATTTTAGGGTGTGTATGTGTGTGTGAGAGAGAGCGAGCGAGCGAGCTTGTTTTAAAGGCTGGGACTGGAGCCAAATGAACTGAGTGAGAAAGTTGAGACTCCCCTTCTTTCTCTCCTTATGGTTTAATCAATTACCGTATTTTTCTGTGTATAAGACTAGATTTCTCCCCTAAAAGATAATGTCAAAAATTAGGGGGTGTCTTATACACGGATAGTGCCGAGGGTGGATTTTCTTAAATCTGAGTCCCCCAAAATAGGGGGGCGTCTCATACATGGAGGCATCTTATAGACGGAAAAATGTGGTAATTACTATGGTCTAGAAACCTGAATGGGACGTGGGTGGCGCTGTGGGTTAAACCACTGAGCCTTGGGCTTTGAATCCGCGCGACGGGGTGAGCTCCCGTTGCTCGGTCCCTGCTCCTGCCCACCTAGCAGTTCGAAAGCACGTCAAATTGCAAGTAGATCAATAGGTACCACTCCAGCGGGAAGGTAAACACCGTTTCCGTGCGCTGCTCTGCTTCGCCAGAAGCGGCTCAGTCCTGCTGGCCACATGACCCGGAAGCTGTACTCCGGCTCCCTTGGCCAATAAAGCGAGATGAGCGCCGCAACCCCAGAGTCAGTCATGACTGGACCTAATGGTCAGGGGTCCCTTTACCTGTACCTTTATAAACCTGAATAGGCTCAGTGGTTCAGTGTTGTTGATGGTCAGCTATTCTGGGCTGGACCTTCCCTGGTCTTGAGACCTGACCGTGGGTCATTACTGCACCAGCAGGACTGGGGGTCAGTGTGGGGCAGCAGCGGCAGCAGCAGAGTACACCGGAAGCTGCCTTAGTATGGCCCATCTGACTCAGCATTGCCAATTCTGACTGGCAGGGACTCTCTCTCTTTTTTAAAAAAAATAATTTTTATTAATAATTTCAACATAGCAAATTATCACAACATATCATCTTCATCAATCCCCCCCAATTTCCCCCCTCCCCCCAGACTTCCCTCAGCTCCTCTCTCTGATTGTTCAGCACACATTGTTCTCTGCATATTATAAAATTATAAAGACCCTTAAATTATGTATCTATTATGTTAACAATCAAAAAAAATTGTGTATGTTTATTCAAAGCCTGCCAAGGAGTCCAATTCATTTTGTTGTTTTTTTAAGTAGTTTGTAAAAAGTTCCCATTCTTCTTTAAAGTCACAGTTGTCCTTGTCTCACAGTTTGTATGTCAATTTCACCAGTTCTGCATAATCCATCAGTTTCTCTTGCCACTGTTCTTTTGTCGGGATTTCCTCGTTCTTCCATCCTTGTGCTAGTAAGACGCTTGCCGCCGTTGTCGCGTACTTAGATAAATTCTTTATTTTCCTTGGCAGGTCTTTCCCTAAAATCCCTAACAGAAATGCCTCAGGTTTTTTTAAAATAAATAAATGTTAATTTAAACATTTTCTTCAACTCGTTATATATCATTTCCCAGAACTTTTTAATTTCTCTACATTCCCACCACATATGGTAAAGGTAGGGACTCTTCATGGCGTGAATCAGCCCAGAAACAGGCTGCTCTGGTGATAAGCAGCAGTCGTTGTTTTGCACGCGGCTTAGGGACAAGGGAAGCTATATGAAACACATAAAGAAGACAGCAAGAAAGGATTTAGTTATACTAGATCTAGGTTTTAAACGGAAGTGATTGAAGGGAAAGTGAAACTACTGAAGGCCGCATACAGCATACTATTAGAATGGGAGACGAAAGATGAAGAGGTAAAATCAGTTATGATTAAATGGGCACAAGATGTAGGTCACAACATTATAATGGAAGATTAGGTTAAATTATGGAAAACTGATTTAAAATTTACAGATTGTTCCCTATTGAAGGAGAATTACATGAAGATGATGTACAGATGATACACAACACCAGTGCAGTTAGGGAAAATGAACAAAACTAGTTCAAATATATGTTGGAAGTGTAAGGAAAAGGAGAGGACATTTTATCATATGTGGTGGGATTGTAAGGTAATTAAATTTTTTTGGGAAATGATATACAACGAATTGAAGAAAATGTTCCATTTAACATTTGTTTAAAAACCCGAGGCATTTTTGTTGGGGATTGTAGAGAAAGACCTGCCAAAAAAGTTGAAAAACATCTTCATGTATGCGACAACGGCCGCGAGAGTTCTGGTAGCACAAGGATGGAAGACTGAAGAAACCCCAACAAAAGAATCGCGGCAAGAAAAATTGATGGACTATGCAGAACTGGAAAACTGACATATAAGATACGGGACAAGGATAACTGTGACTTTAAGGATGAATGGGAACCCTTTACAAAGTATCTGAAGACGCAACAAAGCGAACTGGACTACTCGGCAGGTTTTTTTATTGATAACAATCAGCTAAATAGTTTGAGGATCCATACAACTTTGTAATAATAATCATAATAATAATCATAATCATAATCATAATTTATTATTTATACCCCGCCCATCTGGCTGGGCCTCCCCAGACACTCTGGGCGGCTTCCATAGAAACCAAAAATACACTAAAATATCACACGTTAAAAGCTTCCCTAAACAGGGCTGCCTTAAGATGTCTTCTGAATGTCAGGTAGTTGTTTATCGTTTTGACATCTGGTGGGAGGGCGTTCCACAGGGCGGGCGCCACTACCGAGAAGGCCCTCTGCCTGGTTCCCTGTAGCTTTGCTTCTCTCAATGAGGGAACCGCCAGGAGGCCCTCGGCGCTGGACCTCAGTGGCCGGGCAGAACGATGGAGGTGGAGACGCTCCTTCAGGTAGACTGGACCAAGGCCGTTTAGGGCTTTAAAGGTCAGCACCAACACTTTGAATTGTGCTCAGAAACGTACTGTAACATGCAGAAAACAGCATTTTTAGAGAAACCAAAGACTGAAACTGAGGGAAGCCGGGGGGTGGGGTGGGAGTGGGTGAGGAGGGAGGAAAAATGGGGGGGAGCAAGGATGATATGTTTTTGGATAATATGTCTTGTTATAATTTTGAATAAAAAATATATAAAAAAATAGAAGGGACAAGGGAAGCTTCCTTATAAGAAGCCTGAAGATTGCTCCACCAAACCCCAGTATTGCCAGCACGGACTGGCAGCAGCTCTCCAGAACTTCAGGCAGGAGGCGCTCCCAGCCCTACCTGCTGCCTGAACCTTCTGCATGCAAAGCCAGTGCTGTGCCCGCTGAGCAGAGGCCCTTCTCAGAGGAGCCGCTGCCTTTTCCGAACGTAGGTTGAGGACTTTGGGGAGGAGATGAGCTGAGCTGCTGCAGGAACATCTCCTCTCTTCCCGCCTGCACTTCATCTGTGTCGCTTCCCTCCGCCTGTCCCTGGGTCTGCCAGGCTCCAAAGAGGCATAAATTGCTATTGATTTTCTCGCTCTTGACGAGGCTTCAAGCCTCCAGTTCATCAGCTAATCCGGCTGTGCTGACAAGCCGGAGAGGGGAGCGGGGAATGAACGAGCCGTTCCAGGGCAGCCTTCGCCAACCCGGTGCCCTCCAGCCGTTTCGGACTACAACTCCCATCAGCCAGCCCCACACGGCGGCTGAGCCGTTGGTTCCTCGGGGCCCGGGCAGACTCAGAAATCCATGCATCCAGAAAAAAACCTCTCCACCTTTCGAATAATTCCCAGCTTTGTTTGGGTGGACATCAGTGGGGAAATGACTCCACCAGGCCCTTCATACAGAGGCTTCCTACCCCTCAGTTTTTGGGGGGAGTCTAAAGAGCTAAACAGGGATGCAGGTGGCGCTGTGGGTTAAACCACAGAGCCTAGGACTTGCCGATCAGAAGGTTGGCGGTTCAAATCCCCACGACAGGGTGAGCTCCTGTTGCTCGGTCCCTGCTCCTGCCAACCTAGCAGTTCAAAAGCACGTCAAAGCGCAAGTAGATAAATAGGTACTGCTCCGGCGGGAAGGTAAACGCCGTTTCCGTGTGCTGCTCTGGTTCGCCAGAAGCGGCTTAGTCATGCTGGCCACATGAGCCGGAAGCTGTACATCGGCTCCCTCAGCCAGTAAAGCGAGATGAGCACCGCAACCCCAGAGTCGGCCACAACTGGACCTAATGGTCAGGGGTCCCTTTACCTTTAAAGAGCTAAACGGCACACCCTCCCAGTGTCCCGATTTTCCAGGGACAGTCCCGGACTTACAAAAGTCCTCCCGGCTTCTGATTTGATCACTGTGAGTGCTCCTGCCTTAAAATGTCTCTCTGCATGTCATCCCTGTTCAGACTCAATGCATGGAAAGTGCTGTCAAAAGTAAGACATTTTGTAGTCTGAGCACAGGCCAAAGATGGAGAGGAATGAAAAGCCAAAGAAAGGGGGTCAGAAGGCAGAATCCCTACGACCACTAATGCTCCTGCATTGAGTCCTTCTCTGTCTTTTGCAAACCTCCTTTGCCAACCCCCCATCACCCGTTCCTCAGAAGGTCCCCCCGGCATAAGAGACAGATTCCTCCTTTTTCATTTCTTCTGCCCTGTTCTTGCTTCCTGACCCGGCATTATTCATTCCTCAGCCGAGCCGGCTAGGAGAAAGGTCTCCTGTATTTTTAATGCCTGGTATTACTGAGGTGCTGACAGGTTGTTTTTATAAATGAGCACATCTTCTCCTTTTGGTGGCGTCTAGATTAGAGAGAGGAAGAGATGGAGGAGGAAAGAAAGAAAGGAAAAAGTGAGAAAGAGACTTTTGGAGGGTTATAATAATAATAGTTTCGGTCCTGGGATTGGAGGCCAATCAATTACAGTCCTCCAGGATGGCACTTATCCCCCCATCTTTCCGTTTGGCGAGGACGGTAGGCCACAGCAAATGTCCCTGTTGCCATGGGGATGCCACAGAAAATGGCAGCTTCTTCTCATGGTGACTGATCCCTTCTTGGCCTGCAAATGTTTAGAAGTGCAGCGAGCCTGTCTGCCTTAGCTTAGCTCCCACAAATCGCTTTGCTGGCAGCATAAGCAGAAAAGATACCATCAGGCAACCATGAGGGGAAGGGGATGTAATGGAATGAGGAAAGAGGGAACCCTCACCTGTGGACTAGGGACCACAAGAGTCATCTAGCCCACCCCCCTGCAATGCAGAAATCCTTTACCCAAGTGGGGCTCCAACCTGAGATCCAGAGATTAAGAGTCTCTACTGACGGAGCTATGCCTGCAAAGTGGATGGCTGAGGAGCTAGAGAGGGCTGTGGAACCTGCGACCACTGGGAATTGAGCCTCCCCTTCCCCGCTCTTCCAGCGGTAAATCTCAAAAGCCATTCACAAGATCTGGAGCAGTCCAGTCCACACCTCTGGTTGGCCCTGCTCTGTACCGTTCTTGAGTGTTTCACTGTCCCTGAACGCTGATAATTGAATTGAATTTTATTATTACGGTCACACGTATAGTTAAAGCTATGGTTCTCCCAGTAGTGATGTATGGAAGTGAGAGCTGGACCATAAAGAAGGCTGATCGCCGAAGAATGGATGCTTTTGAATTATGGTGCTGGACGAGACTCTTGAGAGTCCCATGGACTGCAAGAAGATCAAATGTATCCATTCTTAAGGAAATCAGCCCTGAGTGCTCACTGGAAGGACAGATCCTGAAGCTGAGGCTCCAATACTTTGGCCACCTAATGAGAAGATAAGACTCCCTGGAAAAGACCCTGGTGTTGGGAAAGATGGAGGGTGCAAGGAGAAGGGGACGACAGAGGACGAGATGGTTGGATAGTGTTCTCGAAGCTACCAGCATGAGTTTGACCAAACTGCGGGAGGCAGTGGAAGACAGGAGTGCCTGGCGTGCTCTGGTCCAGGGGGTCACGAAGAGGCGGACACGACTAAACGACTAAACAACAACATTACAGTCACAGACCAGTTCCGGCTCACTTACAATATCAGAAAAATCATAAAACATAACAGGAATACATTGGATTGCAATTAGGTATAACAGAGACAATTCAGATATTGTGGCAGTTAAAAATATATATTAAAATTTAACGCTGATAATGCCTTTTCCCTGCCTAGATGGCAAGGGGTGCGAATGTGTGTGGAATCATAGAGTTGGAAGGGACCCTGGGGGTCATCCAGTCCAACCCCCTGCAATGCAGGAATCTCAGCTGAAGCCTCCATGACAGGTGGCCACTCAACCTCCCCCACTGAAGGCGAGAGAGTCCACAACCTCCAGAGGAAGTCCGTTCCACTGTCGAACAGCTCCTACTTTCAGAAAGTCAGAATCTCCTTTCTTGTGAAGCCATTGATTCAGGCCCTCGCCTCCAGGGCAGGAGAAGAGGTACCTGTATGTTTCCGAGCACAATTCAAAGTGTCGGTGCTGATCTTTAAAGCCCTAAACGGCCTCGGTCCAGTATACCTGAAGGAGTGTCTCCATCCCCATCATTCTGTCTGTACGCTGAGGTCCAGTGCTGAGGGCCTTCTGGCAGTTCCCTCACTGCGAGAAGCCAAGTTACAGGGAACCAGGCAGAGGGCCTTCTCGGTAGTGGCGCCCGCCCTGTGGAACGCCCTCCCACCAGATGTCAAAGAGAAGAACAACTACTAGACTTTTAGAAGACATCTGAAGGCAGCCCTGTTTAGGGAAGCTTTTAATGTTTGATGCATTACAGTATTTTAATATTCTGTTGGAGGCCGCCCAAAGTGGCTGGGGAAGCCCAGCCAGATGGGCGGGGTATAAATAAATTGTTGTTGTTGTTGTTGTTCTTGTTGTTGTTAGAGCTGTTTGACAGTGGAATGGTCTATTTCGGAAGGTTGGAGTGGACCTTCCTTCTTTGGAGGTTTCTGAACAAAGGTTGGATGGCTTCTTCAGCTGCAGGGGGTTGGGCTGAATGACCCTATGGGGTCCCTTCCAACTATACAAATCTACGATTCTGTGTCGTAAGCCTCCAGAGGAACCTATCTGGCTTCTGCCTGGAATAGGCAGCTGAGCCATTCACCTGTCCAAGGTGTGTGTGTGTGTGTGTGTGTGTGTGTGTGTGTGATTCTTATGTAATGGGGAGGAGGAGTTGGCTTGGCTGAGAAGTGTTTATCAAGAGTTCCCAGCCAATTAGAAGGCTGGGCTGGGGGTCAATCAGGCCCTGGGGAATCCTCAAAGGGAGGAGGGGCAAGCGGGAAGATTGAAAGGCCTCTCAATTCCCTGGAGAGCGAAGAGAGATCGTGATTACTTTGCCATCGGTGGAACATTGCGTGCCTCTCTCTCTCTCTGTGTGTGTTGCTTTAATTGGGTTTAAAAATCTATGTTTTGCTCTCGGCTGAGGTGCCACCTGCAATTTTAGGCTTCCTGCTCTGCACATTTCGGTCATGTCTCCAGGTTTCTCTCACACTTATTTTTAAAAAACGCATGCCGGGAGTCCAAGCGCCGGAAGGAAGAACTCTGGCTCATCTTGATAACATGGCAGGAATTTCTAAGAGCTCTGGCTGTTGCTGCCGCTGAGGCAGAGAGACTGGCGATGCCAACAGGTGGGGAATTTGTCTTTTCTCCAGATTTGCATTCTGTCTGGAATCAATATTGTTTTGAAATTTTATGGTATTGTTTACAACGGCCAGCTGGTTTATACATTTCAAATACTTTTTTTGGGGGGTGGAGGAGAAGTTCCCCCTCCTTCCGAAACAGAATATTTGATTTATTTATAAAGGCAGTCAGTGACAAGCCAGCTGCCACTGCGGTGATTGGTGGCGAGGTGGCTTGGCTGAGCGCCTGGCAAGTTTGACGTCCGCGTGGGCATTGGAGGGGGCGGAAGGTGGAGAAGGTACCGTTTCAGGGGCGCAGGATGAGCTCCGTGACCCTGTGCCCGGCAGATCAGTGATCTAACAGGAGATGTTCCACAGAGGTTTAGGCCATGGCAACGCAAAAGACGTATGAGGAAGGCTAGAGGGTTCTGTGCTAAAAGAAACCTCCCATATACATCTATGTGTGCTCCCCCATCTCTAAAAAAAAGAGCTGGAGTGTGTATAAATGTTGCTTAAATTGCAAGAAGGGAGGCCTCCCTGCTGTTATGTACTGAGTTGAATAGGATCCAAAAAGCAGCAGTCTGATTGGTCCAAGAATAATAGGATTCAGAATGCAGCAGTCTGATTGGTCCTAGAACAATAGGGTCCAGAATGCAGCAGTCTGATTGGTCCTAGAACAATGCAGCAGTATGATTGGTCCGCAGGAGCCACCCAATCCAGCTCCAGGTGGATGTGAATCCGCAACCTGATTGGCCTACAGGAGAATCCCAGAATTAGCCAGTCATGTTCGACCCATTGTGTAAATAATGTATACAAAGCAGATACTGTGGGGGAACTTTCATTCCTCACTACTATGAGCTGAATAAAGAGCATGAAATCCACACTCGACTGCATTGAGGGCCTTCCAATCGAAAATTCAACCAAGGGAATGGAAACGGAGGCAGCAGCAAGGAGAGGTGTCATAAATTGTGGCAGTTCCCCTTTGCATAGTTTATTCTTCAGCATTGCTCTTTTGCACAGTAATAATCACAATATCTTCTGCTTAGTATCATAGAATTAGAAGGGACCACAAGAGTTCATCCCCTTGCAGTGCAGGAATCTTTTACCAAAGTTGGGCTCGAACCCATGACCCAAAGATGATGATGATGATGATGATGATGATTAATTTATTTAATCATTTTTTTTTATACAAACAGCAACCACAAAAGACACTACAACAAAAACCATAACAACAACAATAATAACACAATTTGACAATTCAGATTTAAATACACAGATATACCTATGACTGCACCCTTTTGACAATATTTCCCCATCTCTCTCTCCTCCCCCCACTTCCCGCCTCTATCCGCCTTATCGCTTAAATATTCATTCCAGATTTCTTCATGTTTATCCATTCTTAATTTGCGTCGACATGCAATTCGTTCATATGTAGCTACTCTGTCCGTATTATCAACCCATGTGCTCAATGGAATCTTTTTGCGGCTCTTCCAGTTCATCAAAACAAGAGATTAAGGGAAACGGCTTGCGTCTTTGGTCCGAGAAGTATGAGTTGGGGAGCTTCTCCTCACTGAAAGCAAAAGAGAAGCAACTTCTTCCCCATCCTCTGTTATGCAGGCCGATCGCCAAGGCTGCCTCCTGCCTTTCCTATGTTCCTAATTGCCTGGGATTCTCAAGTCGCTAAGAGTGGTGGCTCAGCTGCGGAATGGGAAAAAGCCTCAGTGGAACTGCCCACTCTGTCCCTGCAGTTTTACACCAGAAGGGCTCTTTGCTGCGGCTTCCCTCCTCCTCCTGCTTCTCCTCCTCCTCGGCCATCTGTATCAGTTGCAGGCAAGAGGTCCCCTCTGATGATGCCCAATTGGTTCTGCGCTTTGCAGAGTGGGAGGAAGCAGAAAAATGCCTTTCTCGGCAGGGCAGCTGCACTCACAACCTCACAGCTTCCTGAGCCAAGAGCTTGGCAGCGGCTGGCGACTCGGTTGGAGCCAGGTCTTGATTACACATGGGGATGAGTACTCCAAAGGGGAGGGGCTGTTAGAGTGGGAGCTGTTGTTGTTATAATATAGTACCATCCGTATTGGCGATTAAGGTCTAACTGTAGGGCCATAAGAACGCCCCCCCAACGCCTTTCTGAGAAAGGAGAGGTCCGTCAGGAGAACAAGGCTGGCATTGATGGAACAGGCTCAAATGTTTATTATTCAAGGTTGTAAAGAGATAAGCAGGGACGCGGGTGGCGCTGTGGGTAAAAGCCTCAGCGCCTAGGGCTTGCCGATCGAAAGGTCGGCGGTTCGAATCCCCGCGGCGGGGTGCGCTCCTGTTGCTCGATCCCAGCGCCTGCCAACCTAGCAGTTCGAAAGCACCCCCGGGTGCAAGTAGATAAATAGGGACCGCTTACTAGCGGGAAAGGTAAACGGCGTTTCCGTGTGCTGCGCTGGCTCGCCAGATGCAGCTTGTCACGCTGGCCACGTGACCCGGAAGTGTCTCCGGACAGTGCTGGCCCCCGGCCTCTTAAGCGAGATGGGCGCGCAACCCTAGAGTCTGTCAAGACTGGCCCGTACGGGCAGGGGTACCTTTACCTTTTAAAAGAGATAAGCAGACTCAGGAATGCACACTGCCCTGGTGTGGTGGGGCTGGTGGGGCCATTGCAGGAAGGAGGGGGGGGCAAGCCCATGTAAGGACATAGGAACTTACTATAACTTCCGATTTCCCAGAAATCAGATGGTTTACAAGAAATCAGGTGGTATTGTATTCTGCAAATGTATAAAAAGCAGGCACGGTCAGAATTGTGTGTGCAGATTCCGAGCTTATCGCGCTGTACCTTTGTCCTGCATATGCATTTCAAATAAATCCTGTTGAATCCTGCAAGGTTGGTTGCCACTTCGTGTGAATCTGTGCTCCAGGGACCCAATAGCAGATATGGAAAATGTCCAACATAACCAGGCTTGCGTGTTGAGCCCACTGCTTTTCGGAAGCGGCCAGCTTAGAACCGCCAGGAGCGATGCCTCAATGCCTTCCAGAGGCACTCTGTCCTAAGGATTTGGGGCAGAATTCCACGCACAAGATGCGCTCTTGCAAGTTCACATTCCCAGCATGTCTGCACTCCTATCTCAGCAACATCTACCCAGGCTGAGACCCTACCTGCCCACAGACTGTCTTGCCAGAGTGGTGCATGCTCTGGTTATCTCCCGCTTGGACGACTGCAATGCGCTCTACGTGGGGCTACCTTTGAAGGTGACTCGGAAACTACAACTAATCCAGAATGCGGCAGCTAGACTGGTGACTGGGAGCGGCCGCCGAGACCACATAACACTGGTCTTGAAAGACCTACATGGGCTCCCAGTACATTTCCGAGCACAATTCAAAATGTTGGTGCTGACCTTTAAAGCCCTAAATGGCCTCAACCCAGTATACCTGAAAGAGTGTCTCCACCCCCATTGTTCAGCCTGGACACTGAGGCCCAGCTCCAAGGGCCTTCTGGCAATTCCCTCACTGCGAGAAGTGAAGTTACAGGGAACCAGGCAGAGGGCCTTCTTGGTCGTGGCACCCGTCCTGTGGAACGCCCTCCCACCCGATGTCAACGAAATATATAACTCACTGACTTTTAGAAGACATCTGAAGGCAGCCCTGTTTAGGGAAGTACTTAATGTTTGATGTTTTGTTGTGTTTTTAATATTCTGTTGGGAGCTGCCCAGAGTAGCTGGGGAGGCTCGGTCAGGGTATAAGTAATAAATTATTATTATTATTATTATTATTATTATTATTATTATTATTATCCCCTCCAACAACCGGATGATTCAAATCTGGGTGCTTGCTTTTTGGTTTCAAGCTCTCGCAGGAGCCAGCTGACTCATGCCGGACTGCAGGACCAAAAATCGGGGCATTCTGGGATGCATTCAGAAGCTAGGATGGCTCCTGCAATTCCGGGATGCCCTGCTTAAATTGGGACGGTTGAGTGGTATGCATTCAGTCCCTGAGACTGAGGTCGCCATCTCCTGCTTTGCATCGCAGCCACGGTAAGCTGTTGCTTGGCGAGTCCCACCCCCCCATGGAAATAAAGACACATGACACAATTATTTAAGGTTAATGGGCTAAATATGGCCACAACTTTATTAGTTACAGGTGATGAGCGGTATTGACTTAGGCATTGGTCCTAACAGACTATCCGGCTTCAGCCTGTTTGCTTGAAGTCCGGGAAGGGTTAACCCCAGTAGGGGGAGTCCTGCTGATGCACTGGTATGCGGGGAAAAGAGGGAGATCCCTGACTGTGCCTGCATTTAAATCGTGCTGTCCACGCCCCCAAAGCCAGCCGATTGGCTGGCCAGGGGGTGACACGGCTGGGGCCGTGATGCCCGCAATCCCACCTCCTCCGCAGGGCAGAAGTGGCTTTCTTCCACAAATTCCAGAGCTAGTGGCTCTCCTAACTGTATCTACACAAAGGTAAATTCTATTGAGTTCCGTGGGGGTTTAACCCCAGGTAAGTGTGTTTTGGATGGCAGCCTAAGTGGAAAGCAGGTTTAAGAGCTAAGCTTCCCTAAGCTTTTGCTCAAAGCTCCCAGCATGTTTTTAGACCACTAGATGCCACTTCTTTTCCAGACCTAAGAATAGAAGCCAGGAGTCGAGGCTCCGAGACCTTAATTGGCCCTCACTTCCCGTCTTCCACACTGATAGCGATAAAGCACAGAAGTACCTGCCCGCCGTCCTATCACTAGACATCAGTTCCAACCCATCGAAGCAGAGAAAAACATTCCGATTCTGGAATCCAGCGTTTGTGTAAAGAGAGAGAGAGAAATATTTATAAATGAGAGTCTAGCCTGTTGATCTTTAATGACCCCAATCTATTTCATTTCAGTAAATTAGGCAGGTCACATTCGCAAGGCAGGACACAGGCTCTCTGCTCCAGACAGCATTGGCGCCTTGGTGCAAGACATGAAGGATGGCAAAGATCAGTGATCTTGCAGGCTTGTAGGGAAAGGCTGTGCTGAATTGTACTGTGTAGTCCCATAGGCTTCCTCAAACTGGGCCCTCCAGATGTTTTGAGACTACAATTCCCATCATCCCTGACCACTGGTCCTGCTAGCTGGGGATCATGGGAGTTGTAGGCCAAAAACGTCTGGAGGGCCCAGTTTGAGGAAGCCTGGTGTAGTCCACAGGCTGTCGCAGTTGCAGGGGGGAAGCCTCTGGACGTAGAAGTAACATTACCCTAGTATATGTATCAGATAGATGGAGCTGGTAGACAGCTGCCCTGGACTACAGAATTGACCTGCGCCTCCATTGGCAGCTGTGAGTCCAAAATGAAGAGTGCTTATCTCTCATTGAATCTTCTTCTTCTTCTTCTTCTTCTTCTTCTTCTTCTTCTTCTTCTTCTGCGATCACTCGTAGTCGAGTAAGATTGTCTCCCATGAATACGGTCCTAACAGTATGTCTGTAAGTGACTATGGAGGCCAATTCTGGATCCGCACATCCTTCCACAGTGGGGACGTTGGTTCCCGGGCAGGAGTTGATCACAGAGAGGATTTGTCTTCCTCTTAGCACGTTTCTCCCTTTTGTCCTGAGTTCAAGCTTCTTCAAAACCCATGATGCCTTTGGTAAAGGCTGTTCTGCAACTGGAGCACTCACAGACTAGTGATTCCCAGTTGTCAGTGTTTATACTACTTTTTAAAGACTTTTGAGCATCTTTAAACCTCTTTTGTTGTCCACCGGCATTACGCTTTCCATTTTTAAGTTCAGAATAGAGTACAGTGGTACCTCAGGTTAAGTACTTAATTCGTTCCGGAGGTCCGTTCTTAACCTGAAACTGTTCTTAACCTGAAGTGCCACTTTAGCTAATGGGGCCTCCTGCTGCTGCCGCGCTGCCGGAGCACGATTTCTGTTCTCATCCTGAAGCAAAGTTCTCAACCTGAAGCACTATTTCTGGGTTAGCAGAGTCTGTAACCTGAAGCGTATGTAACCTGAAGCGTATGTAACCCAAGGTACCACTGTAGTTTCTTTGGAAGACGATCTTCAGGCATCTGCACTACATGGCCAGTCCAACAAAGTTGATGTTGAAGAATCATTGCTTCAACACTGGTTGATCTTTGCTTCTTCCAGTACACTGGCATTAGTTTGTCTTCCCAAGTCATATGTAAAAATTTTCGGAGACACCGTTGGTGGAATCTTTCGAGGAGTTGGAGATGGCGTTTATAAGCTGTCCATGTTTCACAAGCGTACAGTAAGGTTGGTAGTACAATAGCTTTGTAAACAAGCATTATGGCTTCCCTGTGAATGTCCCAGTCCTCAAACACTCTGCTTTTTAGTCGGGAGAAAGCCGCACTCACCATGCTCAGGCGATGCTGGATTTCGGCATCAATGTCAGCCCTTGTGGAAAGATAACTGCCTACGTAGGGAAAATGATCACTTTTCTCATTGAGTAACAGTAGCCAGTTCCCACCCATCTTGTGATTAGGTGAAATACCTCCAGTCAGTAAGATGTTTGTTTGGGTTCTTCTAGGCATGTGAGCCAGATCTCCTGGGTTCCTTCCCAGTATTCAGAGGTACACATTGTATCTGCTGCTGGATGTAACACAGCCATCCTTCCTGGTAGTCAATTATAGCCTTCCATGAATCTAATTTGGGGAAATGGTGTGTCGCTTGCGTACCTAACGATGGGAGGGGCCCCCAGTTAGCGTCGCAAACGGGCCAGAGGGGCTTTAAAAGCTTTTGGGCTAGCAGTCAATTGAAAACAGGACCTTTCCCCTTGGCCACGCTGAAGTTCATCCTGCAAATGGATTTTTAATGGCATCTTCCTGCAGAGAAAACGCACGCAAAAGTTGTAAGCCAAAGGCGGCTTATTGGTCGGCTGTTCTTGCATCATATTCCTTTCTGCTCCTCCGCCAGCAAACACGCCCCCACCCCCCCAGTCTGACCACTTTCCCCTTGCTGATTCCCTTCTTATGCTCACCCATCCCGCCCCCCTGGCCATCCTCTTGCACCACCAAATGAACAACAATCATAGTGATGATACCAACAGGAGTTTAATCCCCGGTAAGCCCTTAGGATAAAGGAAGCAATTCTCTGGCTGTTTCACTCACACACACACACACACACACACACACACACACACACACACGTTAGATAGCAGGACAGGATGAGATTATGTAGTGCCCCACTTAAGCTTCTGGGAGCATTGAAAGATCCAGGGTCTTGCAAGACAAAGAGAGGCACCTTAGTTTATCTTGAATGATGGGGAGGAGGAAAGTTCCCTCTCAGGGAGCAGAACATCCCTATGTGCTTAGAGATCCCAACAAAGGTATATAGTGGCAAATTCAGAAGCTCCTTCATGAGAGTCACAGCCAAACGGCCTCACAGCAGAGCCGGCCCAGCCAGGTGAGACTGCTGCTTCAGGTGGCAAAAGCCCCTGGCGGGCATACCTGTGGATGCCCCCGGGCTCCGCCATCGACAAAAGAAGAAGAGTTTGGATTTGATATCCCACTTTATCACTACCCTAATGAGTCTCAAGGGACGTGGGTGGCGATGTGGGTTAAACCACAGAGCCTAGGACTTGCCGATCAGAAGGACTTGCCGATCAGAATCCCTGCGACGGGGTGAGCTCCCATTGCTCGGTCCCTGCTCGGTCCCTGCTCCTGCCAACCTAGCAGTTCGAAAGCACGTCAAAGTGCAAGTAGATAAATAGGTGCCGCTCCGGTGGGAAGGTAAACGCCGTTTCCGTGCACTGCCCTGGTTCTCCAGAAGTGGCTTAGTCCTGCTGGCCACATGACCCGGAAGCTGTACACTGGCTCCCTCGGCCAATAAAGCGAGATGAGCGCCACAACCCCAGAGTCGGCCACGACTGGACCTAATGGTCAGGGATCCCTTCACCCTTTACCTTTTAAGGAGTCTCAAAGCGGCTAACATTCTACTTTCCCTTCCTCTCCCACAACAAACACACTGTGAGGTGAGTGGGGCTGAGAGACTTCAGAGAAGTGTGACTAGCCCAAGGTCACCCAGCAGCTGCATGTGGAGGAGAAGGGAATCGAACCCGGTTCACCAGATTACGAGTCCACCGCTCTTAACCACTACACCACACTGAAGCGCTGCCCCCATATTGGCACTGATTTTGGGAAGTATCACGGAACATGCAAGATTCCACATGGTTTGGGGTGAGATCTCACCTTAAATCAGTATGATTTCCCCCCAAATCAGCAACAATGGTGGTGGTGCTTCTCCAGACACCCCTTTCTAAGCTTATACAAGCTTCTAAAATTTAATAATAATAATAATAATAATAATAATAATAATAATAATACAGTGGTGCCTCACAAGACGAAATTAATTCGTTCTGCGAGTTTTGTCATCTTGCGATTTTTTTCGTCTTGCGAAGCACGGTGTCGGGAAAGTTTTGGAAAAGCTTCAAAAATCACCAAAGTCTTCAAAAACCTCAAAAAAGGCTACCACACCGCGTTCTATGAGTTGCTCCTCGAAGTCAAGTCGCAACTGTATTAACGGTGTTAAGAAAAAGGGAACAAACTTACAAGACGTTTCTGTCTTGCGAAGCAAGCCCATAGGGAAAATCGTCTTGCGAAGCAGCTCAAAAAACAAAAAACCCTTTCGTCTAGCGAGTTTTTTGTCTTGCGAGGCATTCGTCTTGCGAGGCATTCGTCTTGCGAGGTACCACTGTAATAAATACGCCACCCATCTGGCTGGCTTTCCCAGACATTCTTGGTGGCTTCCAATCGATTATTAAAAACGCAATACAGCATCAAACATTAAAAACTTCCTTAAACAGGGCCACCTTCAGATGTCTTTTAAAAGTAACATAGTTGTTTATTTCCTTGACATCTGGTGGGAGGGCGTTCCACAGGGCGGGTGCCACTACTGAGAAGGCCCCCTGCCTGGTTCCCTGTAACCTCACTTCTCACAGTGAGGGAACCACCAGAAGGCCCTCGGTGCTTATAAATTTGTGAACCGTCTTTAGAACTGTGCGTATAGGGTGGCATACAAATTTAAGAAATAATAGTAATAACTGTACAGTAATAATAATTAGGGGTGTGTTGCAACAGTCACCACAGATCTCTGTGTGTTGCCTTTCAGCCAGATCTGCTGTTTTCTGCGCACATACATGGGCGAATGATTTGAAGAGGGATTGGCTGTTAAACCACTCTGGAAACTGTAGCCCTGGAAAGGGAACCCTCAGCACTCCTATTGAACTACAGCTCCCAGCATTCTTTAAGGGGAGCCATGGCTGTTTAGAGTGGTATCATAGTGTTTTAAATATATTGTGTGAATGTAGCCAGGAAGATTTTGGGCATCACATGGCAGGGCAGAGTCTCAAACAAAGATGTGCTCTCCCAAGCCCACATTCCCAACATGTTTGCACTCTTGTCTCAGCGACGTCTACGCTGGCTTGGTCAGGTCCACAGAATGGACGACGGCAGACTCCCCAAGGATGTTGTTATGTACTGAGTTCAATAGGATTCAGAATTAGCCGTCTGATTGGTCCTAGAACAATAGGATCCAGAATGCAGCAGTCTGATTGGTCCACAGGAGCCACCCAATCCAGCTCCAGGTGGAAGGGAATCCGCAACCTGATTGGCCTACAGGAGAATCCCAGAATTAGCCAATCAGGTGGGGCCCTTTGTGTAAATAATGTATATAAAGCAGACATTCAGGGGGAACTTCCATTCCTCCTCACCACTATGAGCTGAATAAAGAGCATGAAATCCACTCTCGACTCCGAGTATATGTCAGATGTGCTCTATGGGGAGTTGGCTTTAGGTACCAGGCCCGCTGTCAAACCTACTGCGTTACAAAGATGCCTACAAACGTGTCACGAAGGCTGGGAACATTGGGGCTGTCATGCGTCCGGATTTCCCCAGACATTCCCAGGATTTCAAAGGCGGAATTGATTTCCGGGGGGAATTTCCAAAAGGCGGTGGTGCTTTGTCCTGGATCTTAGAGAAGTCAATCGATAAATCAACCATTTTGGGTGTCCTGGATTTTACGTTTTGAAATATGGCAACCGTAGGCAACATCAGCCCCAACAGATGGGAATCCCTTGCAGATGACCACAGTGCCTGAAGACAGACAGTCAGGTTGTGCATCTACAGCAGTGACCAGAGGAGGAATGACCGCTGGGAGGAGCACAGAGGGAAGAAACACCACGGTATATCTGCAGCAGCACAACCGGATACCTTCATCTGCCCTGGATGCAACAAAACATGTCTCTCCCATATCGATCCTACAGCCACAGCAGGCGCTGCAGTCTTCCAGCAGTTTGACTTCACCTCCAAAGGTGCACTCTTCCACTGTGTCCCAAGGAAGGAGGAAACCAACCACCAAAGTAACGTCCCTGTGGAACACAGCAGGGCAGAGGATGGGGTCCAAAATAGAATTATTTGGCTCCGACTGTCTTTGGCTCTGGTTCCACCAATTGTTGGCCTAGGTGCCTTCCACCCACAATGGGTTCCAGCCACCACTGGGTTTGATACGCTTCTGGTGTCCGTATGGCTCTGTCCACCCCCACAGAGAATAAGTGACAGAAGGAAATTTTTACAGGGCCCCAGTGAGTGCAATAGTTTTTGAAGCGGCCAAGATTTCAGGCCTTGCAAATAAAGTTCTTGGTGAGAGATAATTTTAGCAGGTGGCCTGTCTCGATTATTTATTCCTTCTGTGCTGCAAAGGCTTCAGTCAGCCAGAACATCCCAGCCAGAGAGGAAACCATCAAAATAAGCATGGGATGTTAGCGGCTGCAGCCCAGACCTGGGATGGTGTGGCAGATTGCGATGTCAGGCTGCGGCCGGAGAGATCTGGGTTCAAATCCCCGACCAGCGACAAAGCTCAGTGAGTGACTTTGGCAGATCGCATTTTCTCCATCCAACATACCTCACAGAGCAGTTGTGGGGAATGCAACTTGGGGAGAACATTTATGCTTTCTCCTGTCAGTCTTTTGGAAAGACTTTGTTGTTGTTTAGTCGTTTAGTCATGTCCGACTCTTCATGACCCCCTGGACCAGAGCACGCCAGGCACTCCCGTCTTCCACTGCCTCCCGCAGTTTGGTCAAACTCATGCTGGTAGCTTCGCGAACACTGTCCCACCATCTCGTCCTCTGTCGTCCCCTTCTCCTTGTGCCCTCCATCTTTCCCAACCTTAGGGTCTTTTCCAGGGAGTCGTCTCTTCTCATGAGGTGGCCAAAGTCTTGGAGCCTCAGCTTCAGGATCTGTCCTTCCAGTGAGCACTCAGGGCTGATTTCCTTCAGAATGGATGCGTTTGATCTTCTTGCAGTCCATGGGACTCTCAAGAGTCTCCTCCAGCACCAGAATTCAAAAGCATCCATTCTTCGGCGATCAGCCTTCTTTATGGTCCAGCTCTCACTTCCATACATCACTACTGGCAAAGACTTAGAAAAAGGATTACCAGAGAGAAGAAGGCTTTTGAAAGGGTTGCTTTGCACCAATTTTCCTGGGTGAGAGAGAGATATTTGACCAGAGTATTTGTTGCACACTGCAGATCTGAGGAGGCTGATTCAGGAGTCTTCGAAATAAATAAAATTGCATCCCATGTGTTATTTTCTCTAGTTTATATATATACTTTACCCCATGGAGGCGCAGGTTACAGCAACAGCCAAGGTGACATTTTCCCACCTTCGCCGCATCAAGCAGTTGGTCCCTTACCTTTCCTGCCCCGACCTGGCCACAGTGATCCATGCGACAGTCACCTCCAGGCTTGACTACTGTAATTCGCTCTACCCTTGAAGCTGTCCCACAAACTCCAGCGGGTGCAGAATGCTGCAGCGAGGCTCCTCACGGGGTTCCTGCCATGGGAGCATATTCACCCAGTGCTTTTCCAGCTGCACTGGCTCCCAGTGGAGTACAAGGTCAGGTTCAAGGTGCTGGTTTTGACCTTTAAAGCCCTTCACGGCCTAGGACCCTCATACCTATGGGACCGCCTCTCCTGGTATGCCCCACGGAGAGCCTCAAGGTCCATAAATAGCAACACCCTTGATGTCCCGGGCCCTAAGGAAGTTAGATAACCCTCAACCAGAGCCAGGGCCTTTTCAACTCTGGCCCCGGCCTGGTGGAACGCTCTGCCTCATGAGATCAGGGCCCTGCAGGATCTGATTTCTTTCTGCAGGGCCTGTAAGACAGAGTTGTTCCGCCTGGCCTTTGCCTTGGAGCCAATTTGATTCCCTCCATCTCTTTCTTTTTCCTTTTCCTTTCTTCTCCTGTGATGAGGCTGCATTTTAATATTTTAATGTTTCAATATTTTAATTGTTGTATTTTAATCTTGTTTTTAAGTTGTATTCATTCAACTTGTTTTTATTATTGCTTGTTAGCAGCCCTGAGCCCAGCCTTGGCTGGGGAGGGCGGGGTATAAATAAAAATAAAAATTATTATTAGTATTATTATTATTATTTGTTTAGTTGAAGCATGACATTAAAAAAACAACAATCGCAGAAAGTGCAAATTTCAGGTGTATTTCTTATTTATTTAATGCTTCTCTATCCCACCTTTTCCTCCAAGAAAATCAACGTGGTGTACCCCCCCTTCCTCATTTCATCCCTCAAACAACCCTGTGAGGTAGGTTAGACTAAGAGACTAGCCCGAATCACCCAGTGAGGGCTTTGTCTCCCAGCTCGCAGCCCAGCGCTCTAACCATTACACCACACCACCTCCATTTTGGTTTGCATATTGGGAAAACATAGATTAGGTAGCTTCGCCTCAGAGTCTGTACTGCGCTGAATGTCTCCTCCGTCTGTGCACGGTCACCTTCATACTGATGGAGAATTCTGGGAGCTTGTCCAGACTGTCCCAGAGGATTCTGGGAGATGTGGCTGAGAGAGAAGCTCTTTGTGCCAGAATCCCTCTGCACAGCTGCTGCGGATCAGGTGCACTGGCCACCTTTGCCTGCCCTCGTGGGCGAGTCATTTCACAGGTATAAACGATGCTGTGTCTCTGAGGAGGTAGAAAACAAAGCCCCCCCTTTTCCTCAGCTCCCGTTGGGTTTCTCCCTGCTCCACATTACGCCCACTCTCCTTCTCCCTGCCACCTCCATGTTTATGTTTTATGATCTCATTCTCCGAGCCACAGACTCGAATTCCCTCCTTTGAGCGATTAAAGCGAATGCGGTCTGACCCCTTCCCCACAGCAATTTCCTATCTTGGAGAAGCCGGGAGCTCACCCTCCTTGCGGGAGAGAGGGAAGGCAGAGGGAAAGAGAGCAGCTGAGAATGCTGTTTGGCAGTGCTCATGGGTTTCCCGAAAAGACCTGGCTGGCAGCTGCAGTTCAGAAGAGGATGCTGGGCTAAAGGGATATTTGGTCCCATCTAGCAGCAGTGGAGGGACGTGGGTGGTGCTGTGGGTTAAACCACTGAGCCTAGGACTTGCTGATCAGAAGGTCGGCGGTTCGAATCCTCGCGACGGGGTGAGCTCCCATTGCTCGGTCCCTGCTCCTGCCAACCTAGCAGTTCAAAAGCATGTCAAAGTGCAAGTAGATAAATAGGTACAGCTCCGGCGGGAAGGTAAACGGTGTTTCCGTGCGCTGCTCTGGTTTGCCAGAAGCAACTTAGTCATGCTGGCCACATGACCCGGAAGCTGTACACCGGCTCCCTCGGCCAATAAAGCGAGATGAGCGCCGCAAGCCCAGAGTCGGCCACGACTGGACCTAATGATCAGGGGTTCCTTTACCTTTACCTAGCAGCAGTGGTGCTCACTGGAAGGACAGATCCTGAAGCTGAGGTTCCAATACTTTGGCCACCTCATGAGAAGAGAAGACTCCCTGGAAAAGACCCTGATGTTGGGAAAGATGGAGGGCACAAGGAGAAGGGGACGACAGAGGACAAGATGGTTGGACAGTGTACTCGAAGCTACCAGCATGAGTTTGACCAAACTGCGGGAGGCAGTGGAAGACAGGAGTGCCTGGCGTGCTCTGGTCCAGGGGGACACGAAGAGTCGGACATGACTAAACGACTAAACAACAACAACAGCAGCAACAGCAGTGGTGTAGCATGGGGCAGGAGGCCACAGGGGCAGTTGCCCTGGACGCAAAATTGTTAAGGGTGCAAAGTTTCAACACCCGGTGCTGCCTCAATGCAGCTGCACACGTCCGTCTTCAGGCTCCGTTGAAAACGGCTTCTCCATGCGAATTTATAAGCACCGAGGGTCTTCTGGCGGTTCCCTCGCTGTGAGAAGCCGAGTTACAGGGAACCAGGCAGAGGGCCTTCTCGGTGGTGGCACCCGCCCTGTGGAACTCCCTCCCACCAGATGTCAAAGAGAACAACAACTACCAGACCTTTAGAAGACTTCTGAAGGCAGCCCTGGTTAGGGAGGCTTTTTTAATGTTTTATAGACTATTGTCTACAGTTGCAGGAAAACACAGGCCGGAAGAAAGCTCTTGGGTTCGAATCCTGCTTGCAGGCTTCCCACAGGCATCTGGCTGGCCCCTGTGAGAAGACGATGCCAGACTAGGTGGGCCACTGGCCTCATCCAGTAGACCTCTAGGTAAAGGTAAAGGGACCCCTGACCATTAGGTCTAGTCGTGGACGACTCTGAGGTTGCGGCGCTCATCTCGCTTTATTGGCCGAGGGAGCCGGTGTACAGCTTCCGGGTCATGTGTCCAGCATGACTAAGCCGCTTCTGGCGAACCAGAGCAGCACACGGAAACACCGTTTACCTTCCCGCTGGAGTGGTACCTATTTATCTACTTGCACTTTGATGTGCTTTCGAACTGCTAGGTTGGCAGGAGCTGGGACCGAACAACAGGAGCTCACCCCGTCGCAGGTATTCGAACCGCCGACCTTCTGATCAGCAAGTCCTAGGCTCTGTGGTTTAACCCACAGTGCCACCTGTGTCCCTAGACCTCTACCTGTGTACAAAACAACTGCTGCTTTTGGTCAGCTGAACAGGGCTGATTCACACAACCTCTGCATTCACCGGGGGCATATACCTGTTTTGACCTGGGTCAACCTCGTGCTCATGGCTATCTTGTCCTCTTCTTGGCCACTGGAGTGCCACTAGCGACCGCCCTGCGCCCCAGCTCACCATCACGCCTGCTTGCCATGCTTTTAAAAACGGCACACACATTCCCACTGATGCTCTTTCCTTCTCCCTCTTGCCAGTGCCACCCCCGCCGTTGCAGCCGGCGAGTTCTCCATCACCCGCCCACATACCCAGGGCCGAGGCTGTTTGCTTGCTTCTTTATTAAAACCCAGTTCCCTGGAGCATCGCTGCCTCTCCGGTAGGCCGGCTTACATTTGTCATTACCCACCATTTTTGTCTCGCCGTCTCCCTGGCCAAAGGTTTCGTTTTGTTCATTATTATTACTTTGTATCCAGAGAGCTGCAGAATTGCAGAGCCGGAAGGGACCCGCAAGGGTCATCTAGCCCAACCCCCTGCAATGCGGGACCAACGTGGGATTCAAACCCACAACCTTGAGGTTTAAAGTCCCAAGTTCAACTGACTGAGCCAAGTTACAAAGAGGGCCTGGCTCGGAAGGGCCGGGGAGGTGCAAAGCCAAACCGAAAATCTCAGGGGGTCTGATCAATGAGGTTGCCCAGGTTGTTGAGATCCATGGAAATGAGGGGGTCTCAGTGTGACCCTGGAAACTTACGGCTGCGGCAGCCAGGGCTGACTCACCCAGGAGGTGAGGTGAGGAAGGTGCCTCTGGACAATGGGCCGAGGAAGCAGGTCCAGCCTCTGAGGAACACATTGCTGCTTGAAGGATGTGGGGAGAATTTTCTGTTTAGTCCCATACAGCCTGGGTTGGCCCTGGCTGCAGGATATCTTTACCAGAAGGGGTTTTTTCCCCCAGCCTGAGGGCCACAATCCCTTCTGGACAAGGTTCTGAGAGCCACATACCAGCAAGTGAGTGGAGCCAAAGACAAAAGTGGGTGGGGCAGTCTGTCACCTTTTTACAGCAGACTAGTTTTTTCCACATCTTAAAAAGCAGAGACATCACCTTGCCAACAAAGGTCCGTATAGTTAAAGCTATGGTTTTCCCAGTAGTGATGTATGGAAGTGAGAGCTGGACCATAAAGAAGGCTGATCGCCGAAGAATGGATGCTTCTGAATTATGGTGCCGGAGGAGACTCTTGAGAGTCCCATGGAGATCAAACCGATCCATTCTGAAGGAAATCAGCCCTGAGTGCTCACTGGAAGGACATATTGTGAAGCTGAGGCTCCAAGACTTTGGCTACCTCATGAGAAGAGAAGACTCCCTGGAAAAGACCCTGATGTTGGGAAAGATGGAGGGCACAAGGAGAAGGGGACGACAGAGGACGAGATGGTCGGATAGTGTTCTCGAAGCTACCAGCATGAGATTGACCAAACTGCAGGAGGCAGTGTGCTCTGGTCCATGGGGTCATGAAGAGTCGGACACGATTAAATGACTAAACAACAACAAGTTTTTTCCGGCACAGACCCACCCATACCCTCTCTGCCCTGCATCCAGACAGCAATATCAAAAGCAACACGATGGCCAGAAACAATAACAATGTGAAAAACTTCATGGAATAATTCAAAACATCAAAACTAACAAGCTGAAATCTCTGAAAGTCTCTGAAAGTCCTTAAATGAATCACAGTGCCAGACTTTACCCGGCGGAGAGCAAGCTGTGAAGCTTTGTATAATCAGCAAATGTCCAATTCCAATGTCCAACTCTGAACTCCGCTGAACAGTGTTTCCAGATAACAGCTACTGTTTCGCTGAATACTTCATCAGCCAATTAGTTCAACACTTGTAAGTAGAAAGATATGTAATTTCTTCATTAACCAATCTTTTTTTTGAATAGATATAATGAAAAATACTCTGGAACAGTGTTCATGCGATTATGTAGTCACTGTTGCATTTGAGTCCTGGAGCTGAGAAACAGATCACAGATTTGTAGAGTTGGAAGGGACCACAAGGGTCATCTAGTCCAGCCCCCTGCAGTGTAGGAATCACAGCTAAAGAATCTCTGACAGATGGCCATCTAACCTCTGATTGTTGTCGTTGTTTAGTTGTTCAAAAACATCCATTCTTTGGCGATCAGCCTTCTGTATGGTCCAGCTCTCACTTCCATACATCACTACTGGGAAAACCACAGCTTTAACTATACGGACCTTTGTTGGCAAGGTGATGTCTCTGCTTTTTAAGATGCTGTCTTGGTTTGTCATTGCTTTTCTCCCAAGAAGCAGGCGTCTTTTAATTTCGTGACTGCTGTCACCACCATCATGGAGCCCAAGAAAGTAAAATCTCTCACTGCCTCCATTTCTTCCCCTTCTTTTTGCCAGGAGGTGATGGGACCAGTGGCCATGATCTTAGGTTTTTTTGATGTTGAGCTTCAGACCATATTTTGCGCTCTCCTCTTTCACCCTCATTAAAAGGTTCTTTAGTTCCTCCTCACTTTCTGCCATCAAAGTTGTGTCAACTGAATATCTGAGGTTGTTGATATTTCTTCCTGCAATCTTAATTCCGGCTTGGGATTCATCCAGCCCATGCGAAAGGCATGATGAATTCTGCATATAACCTCTGATTAAAGACCTCCAATGGAGGAGAGTGCGCCATCTTTTGAGGAAGTCCATTCCACCATTGAACAATTTTTGCTGCCAGAAAGTTCTTCCTAACGTTGGGTTGGAATCTCTTTCCTTGTCCTTTGAACCTGGTGGTTCTGGCCCTACCTTCTGGATCAGCGGAAAACAAGATTTCTCCATCTTCCATGTGACAGCCCTTTAGATATGTGAAGATGGCTATCAGTCTTCTCTCCAAGCTAGACATACCTGGCTCCCTCCCTCTCCCAACTTGGGCCTCCTCCTCCCTTCGTTTCCATGCAGGTGTCGATCAGCAGAGTCTGCATTCAGCAAAATTGGGGGGTTGAGCTTTGCTGGGGAAGCAGCTCTCGAGTCTCCAGATGGCAGGGAGTGGTGTGTGGAGAGGCAAAATATCCGAATGCTCCCCCACAAAAGCCAAACCCCTGTTGTAGGTGGAAGGATAATGTGTGTGGGAGAATCTTTCTGCCTCCGTTTTTTGCACCGAAGTTGTTTTGTTTTGAAATGGATGGCACATTCAAGCACGCAACACCTCTCTACAGACTGAAGTGGAGGGATCTGGGGACAGCTGTACCATGTCATTCCAGAGAATGGCAACCACAACACACATACACAGAGAGAGAGAGAGAGAGAAAGAGAGAGAGAGAGAGAAGAAGAGGAGGAGGAGGAGGAGGAGGAGGAGGTGGAGTTTGGATTTGATATCCCGCTTTATCACTACCTGAAGGAGTCTCAAAGCGGATCACAACCTCCTTTCCCTTCCTCCCCCACAACAAACACTCTGTGAGGTGAGTGAGGCTGAGAGACTTCATAGAAGTGTGACCAGCCCAAGGTCACCCAGTAGCTGCATGTGGAGGAGAAGGGAATTGAACCCGGTTCACCAGATTACGAGTCCACCACTCTTAACCACTACATCACACCGGCCCAGACGAAAAGATGGTCATCTCATTTTGCCTGCCAGCAACACTTTCCTCCATTCTTCCTCCACCAATGGAAACCCAAACAGAGGTGCGGTAGAAATTGCAGAAGTGTTTTCCCAGAGGCATGGACTGAGGAACATTAAAAACCGTTGGTGTTTCCTGTCTTCTGGAGGCATTGACTCCAGATTGTGAGCAAAATCCAAGAGGGCTGTTGGTTCAGTTTGAAGGAACGTCACTGCCTCCACCTTGCAGCAGAATGGAGAAGGAAGAAGGAACAACAGTGTCATTCTATGGAGAGGGAGGGATGGGGTCTCTAGTGATGGAAGGTCTGTAATACTGAATTAGAGAGCAGTGGGTTCCCCCTCACCCTCCATAAGTTGCACTAAGAAACCAAGGTGATGCCCAGGATCAGGGATGCTTAGGGGTGTATAATCTTGTTCACTTCGTTCCAGAAGAAAAACTCAGAATTGGAACCTTGTGAGCCAGTGTGGTGTAGTGGTTAAGAGTGGTAGTCTCGTAATCTGGGGAACCGGGTTCGCGTCTCCGCTCCTCCACATGCAGCTGCTGGGTGACTTTGGGCCAGTCACACTTCTCTGAAGTCTCTCAGCCCCACTCACCTCACAGAGTGTTTGTTGTGGGGGAGGAAGGGAAAGGAGGTTGTGATCCGCTTTGAGACTCCTTAAAGGGAGTGAAAGGCAGGATATCAAATCCAAACTCTTCTTCTTGTGTGTGTGAGCATGTGCTTTAATTAGAATTTCCCCCCTAATTCACCCTCCCAGGCACTGCATTACATTAAAAAAAAAAAAAATGACAGTAAATCAAAGGCGCACACGGCATTTCTCATCGTAATTCTAATATATTGCCATTGGCAGCAAGAACTAATTAAAGGCGTAAAAAGATGGGGGAATCGTTTTCTTTTTACGGGGCGGGATTTTTAGACCTCCTTCCACTGCTTAGCTCTTGCAAGACAACTGAAGGCAGGGAATCCGCCCCTTCCATTTTCTCTCCCTCTGTGGTGCCTGTGACTGCAACCTGGGGCCGGCTCTATCTGTAGGCAGAGGGAGGCAGCTGCCTTGGGCAGTTGATGGTAGGAGGCTGGGAGCAGGAGCAAGAGGATGGAGGATGGAGCAGTGGCGTAGCTGGGGTTTTTGCTGCCCGGGGCAGTCACTGAGTTTGCTGCTTCTCTCGGTGTTCCTCATCTGGGAGCCCCGCTGGCTTGTCACGGTCTTCCCCTCCTCTCCGACGGAGCCTTTCTACCCTTCCCTTCTTACCCCCACTCCCCGGGCTCTGACCCTTCTTCCCTTGGTGGTACCCCAGTGGGTTCCTCCAACCATCCCTCTGCGTCCAACGTTCCCATGACAACCGCCATATGCATTCAGAGAAAGTTGGGTTTAATTGTTCTGGAAAAGCCATTATGAATTGAAAACCGCAAGAGCAACAGAAGACGAGCAATGCACCTTATGTAAATCCAGCACAACTCTTAACATGGGTCTAATTAATAGACTCTGGGCTAATGGGGATATTTATTTGTTTTGCTTACAACAGGGCTGGAGTTATTGTAAACTGCAGGGACTAAGGTGGGGATCTTCAGGAATGAACACACTGCTGCTTGTTTAAGGGCAAGAAGATGAATGTTGGAATCTTCAGGATAGACCAGTCGTAGGCAAACTCGGCCCCCCAGATGTTTTGGGACTACAACTCCCATCATCCCTGACCACCTGTCCTGTTAGCTAGGGATGATGGGAGTTGTAGTCCCAAAACATCTGGAGGGCCGAGTTTACCTATGCCTGTGATAGACCAAAGAAGGGACTTATCCACACAGCACATCGCTAAACTACGAAACACACGTGAGCAAGAAGGGGGCTGCATCATTGCAAGAATCCAGCCAAACTGACCCCATAAAATATGGGAAGCTGCTGCGCAGCTTGTCATAGAATTGAACTGAGACCCCATTTGGTTTTTTGGGGTGTGTGTGTGTGTTTGCGTGTCTTGCTCTTCTGAACAGGCCAGTCAGATTTTGAATGAGTCTGACATCAAAGCCCAGGGTGCTGGCCCAAGGCATTTTGCCGACGGAGGCAAAAGCAAGATGGCGGAGCCCTCCCAATTCCACATCCAGATACCATCCAGACTGGCCGTTGACTTTTTCTTTTGACACCAGCAAGGGAACGGCCACTCACCCAAGGGCAGTTGTAGCTTAGTGGGTGCAGGACAGGCCATGTGACACACACACAGCTCTGCCTGCTCCCTGCTCCCTCAGCAAGTACCGCCTGAGGCAGCTGCCTCGCTCTCCCTCATGAAGGATAGCTCGGTTGGTAGAGCATGACCCCCTTAATCTCAGGGCCAGGGGTTTGGGCCAAAGAATCCTGCATTGTAGGCGGTTGGACTAGATGATTCTCATGGTCCCTTCCAACTCTATGATTTATGATCTATGGTGGGGCCGGCCCTATCAAAGGGCCTCTGCTATGGGGGCCATGTGACCTCAGGCGAAGAAACCACCTGAGCATCGAAGCCTTCTCCTGTTCCTGGCACGATTCTCCCCAGTTGGCAAAACCCAACATCATGTTGTAATGAGGGATGTTTAACGTCGCCTCGCTTGAGACATGACGGATTGGCCACTTATCTGCCACGTAATTCCCGGTATTTGCTGTATCTAACATCTTGTTTTGAACGTCAACGCTTTTCGGATGTTAGTCTAATTCAATACATGATGCAGAGGCATTTGAGATGTCTGGTGACAACCTCCTCAGGTCTTTTGGTGGCGGGGAGATTTCCATTGCCTGGGCTCTCGGCATCTGTGAGAGAATTTGAGGAAGGGGGAGAGAGAGGTTTAGAAGACTGTTGTCCCTTCCCACCTGCAGATTTCTATTCACTCCCTCTCCCCCTCAGTCCAGGAGATGGAAGCTGCATATTTTGAACCAGGGTGTCCTGGACACAAATTTTACCTCTTATCCTAAACTTGCAAAATGGACTTTATGGTGTGTGTGTGTGTGTGTGTGTGTGTGTGTGTGTGTTGCTGTTCTCTCAGCCCTCTTCCCCTCTTGAAAACTGGGATAATAATGTTGCCCTCTAGCTTTCTCCTTAATCCAGCGCATGTTTGCAATTTGGTCTCTGGCTCCTCTTCCCCTTCGAAATCCAGCTTGCAGCAAAGGTCCGTATAGTTAAAGCTATGGTTTCCCCAGTAGTGATGTATGGAAGTGAGAGCTGGACCATAAAGAAGGCTGATGGCCGAAAAATTGATGCTTTTGAATTCTGGTGCTGGAGGAGACTGCAAGAAGATCAAACCTATCCATTCTGAAGGAAATCAGCCCTGAGTGCTCACTGGAAGGACAGATCCTGAAGCTGAGGCTCCAATACTTTGGCCACCTCATGAGAAGAGAAGACTTCCTGGAAAAGACCCTGATGTTGGGAAAGATGGAGGGCGCAAGGAGAAGGGGACGACAGAGGACGAGATGGTGGGACAGTCTTCTCAAAGCTACCAGCATCAGTTTGACCAAACTGCAGGAGGCAGTGGAAGACAGGAGTGCCTGGCGTGCTCTGGTCTATGAGGTCATGAAGAGTCGGACACAACTAAACGACTAAACAACAGCACCTTACAATATTATTGTAAGGATCACTGAGATGATATAATAATAGGAGAATAATAGAAATGTAGAGTCGGAAGGGATCATGTGATATTCTAGTCCAACTCCTGCAACGCAAGGCTCTTTTGCCCAAGGTAGGACTTCAATTCAGGACCCTAAGATCGTGTGGTGGTGTATAGTGACGTTGGACTTAAACGAGGGAGCCCTGAAGTGAAATCCATTCCTAGCCACAAAGACTACTTTGGACCAGTCACTGTCCCTTAGCCTAAACCACCTTACAGGGTTGTTGTAAAAACATTACTTTGAAAGGGAGATAATTAACTCAGTTTCAACCACTAGATATATAGATTTTTAAGGAGAATAGATAACAGGTGGTGATTAATTTGCTGGGGAACCTTCCTTTTTTAAAACTGGATTTCGTTTTTTAAAAGCAAAGCTACCTAAGTCCACCTGCCTTTTAAATTCCTACTCCCTGGGATTTGGGTGAGCCCAGTTTCTGAAATGCACCCCTTGTCTTTTTCAGATAAGAACCCTCTGGTCGAATTGGCTGCATTAACAGCTGGGGGTGGGGAAAGCCAGCAGGGATATAGATTTGGAGCAACAACATTTATCTTTTTGTTAAACACTGAGCAGGGCTATGGGGCTTCGCCCACCACCACCCCGCCTCAGCTCTGTATCATGCAGCAAAATGAGTGGGTGGCACGAACCCTTTGCTACTGGGATGGTTCCATCTTCCTGCCTGAATTTTGTTGTATTTTTTTGCCATCTGCCAGTGTGGCAGGGTTGCCACATATTGAAAGCAAAAACTCTCTTGGGTGGAGTGGCGCTGTGGCAGAACCCAATGCCAGTATCGAACTGGAGAAAGTGTGTTCCCCTCGTGAAATATACTCAGAGTCGAGAGTGGATTTCATGCTCTTTATTCAGCTCATAGTAGCGAGGAATGGAAGTTCCCCCAGAATGTCTGCTTTATATACATTATTTACACAATGGGCCCCACGTGATTGGCTACTTCCGGGATTCTCCTGCAGGCCAATCAGGTTGCGGATTCACTTCCACCTGGAGCTGGATTGGGTGGCTCCTGTGGACCAATCAGACTGCTGCATTCTGGGTCCTATTGTTCTAGGACCAATCAGACTGCTGCATTCTGAATCCTATTATTCTTGGACCAATCAGACTGCTGCATTTTGGATCCTATTCAACTCAGTATATAACACCTTCTCCTTCTCCTTTTAAAAACCCTAGCAGTAGCAGTTGGCATGCCGATCCTTCTTACCTGACTTCCTTTCGCCGTCATTGCTGCGGTGTACAAAAGCGGCAAGGTGACACCAAAGGTGGTGCGGTGCAGACACACCGGCGGAGCAAATCCAGTGCTCCTGCCGGGATGTTTGCACCATGCCAACCCCACCACTCCTCTCTTCCTTGCTCATCCAGTTTGCTACATACAATGACAGCAGCAACAGGAAGTCAGGTTAGCAGCCCCACGGATGGCTAGTGAACCCAGCCCAGCCTCTTGCTACTCTGGTGAGTGTCCTGACAGGTGGCTACTTGCAAATCATAAAAAAGAGGAGATTCTGGGTGAGACACTTGCCTGAAATCCCCGAGAGCTATAACTGGACAGTGTAGATCAGAGGCGACAAATGTGGTTCCTTCTAGGTGCTTTGGACTACCACTCCCATCATCCCTGGTCATTGGCCATGCTGGTCAGGGCTGATAGGAATTGTAGTTCAAAACCACATGGGCTATGCCCAGTTGTAGACAATACTAGAGTAGAGGGACCACGAGGCTGTATTGGTATAGGGCTGCTTCCTTTCTTCCTGTGAATTCCCCCCTATAAAAAAAGAGGACAAAATGGACACAAATATGCATACAATTTGCTCACATGCGGATTTATACGTGTGCAGGTGCAGTTTCAGGAAGTAATTACAATGAGGTTAATAGGAATGCATCTCACTATAGTGGGGAAGACGGGGACCAGATCACCTGTGGGCCTACAAAATTTGCAGATAATTAACTGTTCACTTATCCATCCAATGTGTATAACAGAAAGCGATCCAGTGAATAGGATTGCTGTTCTTCCGTCATTGCTGCATTTAGTCCGCAAACAATGCGTAATTTACTGCATTGTGTTTCCTTCGCATTTAAATGGACGGGGTGGGTGATTGCAATGTACAGTGGTACCTCAGGTTAAGTACTTAATTCGTTCCGGAGGTCCATTCTTAACCTGAAACTGTTCTTAACCTGAAGCTCCACTTTAGCTAATGGGGCCTCCCGCTGCCGCCGAGCCGCCAAAGCACGATTTCTGTTCTCAACCTGAAGCAAAGTTCTTAACCCGAAGTACTATTTCTGGGTTAGCGAAGTCTGTTACCTGAAGCATATGTAACCCGAGGTAACACTGTATGCAATTACAGTGGTACCTCTGGATGTGAACAGGATCCGTTCCGGAGCTCCATTTGCATCCTGTAGCGAACGCAACCCGCGTCTGCACATTTGCGCGTGCGCAGGTCATGATTTGCCACTTCTGCGCATGTGCGTGACGTCATTTTGAGCGTCTGTGCATACGTGAGCGGCGAAACCCGGAAGTAACGTGTTCCGTTATGCCCGGGTCTGCGTGGAGCGTAACCTGAAAACGCTCAACCTGAAGTATATTTAACCCGAGGTATGACTGTATGTAAGGGACGTGGATGGTGCTGTGGTCTAAACCACTAAGCCTAGGGCTTGCTGATCAGAAGGTCGGCGGTTCAAATCCCCGCGATGGGGTGAGCTCCCATTGCTCAGTCCCTGTTCCTGCCAACATAGCAGTTCGAAATCACGTCAGAGTGCAAGTAGATAAATAGGTACCACTCTGGCGGGAAGGTAAATGGCGTTTCCGTGCGCTGCTCTGGTTCACCAGAGGTGGCTTAGTCATGCTGGCCACATGACCCGGAAGGTGTATGCCGGCTCCCTCAGCCAGTAAAGCTAGATGAGCGCAGCAACCCAAGAGTCGGTCATGACTGGACCTAATGGTCAGGGGTCCCTTTACCTTTATGACTGTATGTAAGTGACATAAGTCACGTGATTTTGCCGCAGAGAGAGGAATAACCGGTGGAAGGCGAACTGCAGCAGGAGGGAAACGACGCCGCTTGTGACGAATGCAGGGTAGGGCAGAAAACAATGCCTTCTGGCATCTGTGTTGCCTATGTCCATTCTCAGACACAACGTGCCTCTGAATGGCAGTTGCAGGGAACCAGGAGTAAGGGGAGTGCCGTTGCCCTCAGATCTCAAGGGCTTCCTATAAATATCTGGTTGGTCAAGAAACAAGACACTGCACTAAACGAGCCTCTGGCCTGCTCCAGCTACAGGGATCTCACACTCTTAGATCGCACCTTCTCACAACACAACGACTCCTCCTTTCAAACTGCTTGCAGCCTGAGTGTCTTGGTGACTAATAGAGCCTTCTCTGCTCCCCGGGGACTTCGATGTCAGAGGTCTCTGTCTGTCCTCTCTTTATCCCGCGACTCCGCTCCAAGCAAGCGACGGTGATGGATTGTGTTGTTGGATGAATCCCAGAGGGCTCTGCTGGTTTCATGGTGCGGTTTATTCATCTCGGGTTATTTTCTTGCCACCCGTCAGAAGGTTCTGCTGAGCTGCTAAATTTAGCTCGGCGATAGAGACCTGTGTTGCCATGTTAGGTTCCCACCAGAGAATACAGGGTGCAAAACAGGGGGAGGCGGCTGTTTGGTTTTCCCGGACCGCCTTTGGGTGGCAAAAAGGGCCGTGCTAGATTTTGAGTGGCAGAGATCTCTTAGGCAGACTGTGTGTGAGATAGAGGGAGGAGGTATAATTTTTCGCACACCTAAGACTATTTTGTTGTTTTCTTTCTTTAGAAAGGGGCGGGAGGGAAGGCGAGATCAGTAACTCAGCGCTGCTACACCTGAGGCTCTGCGCCAAAGAAAGAGAGAGAGAAACTGACATGGAGCAAATTAATAGAGAGGCTATTTGAGGGAAATTATTCATTCATTCCCCCCAGCCTGGATCAATAGGAAGCAAGGGATCTGGCTGAACCTGCAAGAAGGAAGTGTTTAATTTAAACTTTAACATTTCAAAATCGCTGCCTTTGGGATGGAGAGTGAGACAGAAATTTGATATTGCTACTACTACTAATAGTAATCCCTGAATAAATAAAGACATGGAACAGCTCAAAAGCCTTATGAATACTTTGTCCAGGGCAGGCTGGCAGGGGCTACAAATCCATCTTGTTTTGTTTTAAATCGCCACAAATCGCAAAGAGCACAAGCAGCGGCGTAGTGTGGGTTGTCAGCACCCGGGGCAAGGCAAGTATTTTGGGCCCCCTAACCCGGGGCAAGGCAAGTAATTTGCGCCCCCTAACCCGGGGCAAGGCAAGTAATTTGCACCCCCTAACCCCTAACCTGCCGCCGCTGCCAGCTTCTTCTTGCTGCTGCCTGGGCTGGTCTGGTGTGGTTCTCTCCCGCGCTCAGCGCTGCGCTGGGTGGCCGCTGCACTGTCCCTCCCCCAGATAGTCCCTCGCTCTCTCTCCGCACCGCACGCCTGGCACCCACCCCCTCCACAGTGGGCGGCGACCCAGCGGCTCGGATCGGATTCGCACAGCCAGCACTGCAGTGAGAGAGAGTGAGTGAGCCAGGTAGGGGCAGAGAGCTGCGAGTGCGAGTGCGCCCCCCCAGATGTTGCGCCCGGTGCGGCCGGCCCCCCTGCACCCCCCACGCTACGCCACTGAGCACAAGAGCCCTTTCTCAGCCTGGGGCCTCCAGCAACTGGTAGGAGATTTGCTGCCTCAGAGTGGGGCAGATAGCATCTCAGATGTACAAATTATTATTTTTATTATTATTATTATTGAATTTATATACTGCCCTATACCCGGAGGTCTCAGGGCGGTTCACAGAACAAAATCAAAATACAAAACCACAAAATATAATAATCAAAATATAAACAATGATTCCCCCCTCCCAAAAAACCCCACATTTTAAAAGGGCATAGGATGACAATAAATCAAAGGCCTGGTTAAAAGGGAACGTTTTTTGCCTGGCACCTAAAGGTGTATAATGAAGGCGCCAGGCGAACTTCCCTGGGGAGAGCATTCCATAGATGGGGAGCCACTGCAGAAAAGGCCCCGTTCTCATGTTGCCACCCCCTGGATCTCTCAAGGAGGAGGCACACGAAGAAGAGAAGACTCCCTGGGAAAGACCCTGATGTTGGGAAAGATGGATGGCACAAGGAGAAGGGGACAACAGAGGATGAGATGGCTGGACAGTGTTCTCGAAGCTACCAGCATGAGTCTGACCTACTGCGGGAGGCAGTGGAAGACAGGAGTGCCTGGAGTGCTCTGGTCCAGGGGGTCACAAAGAGTCGGACACGACTAAACAACTAAACAACAACAACAAGCATCTTGCTGGCACTGAGTTGGCTATGCCTGCCTTAGCCACCCCCTCCCAGGCAAAGTTGTGTTGCTTGAAAGGCTCCCAGCCCAGAAAACAAACCCAAGTCGTTGCAGGCAAGATG